CTTTGCAGATGCAATTCTTGGTGTCATAAGAATTCGTTTCATCCCACGTTTGGTGGCAAGGATTATGTCCCACTATTCATTAGTGAAATCCCTCGATATTTCAAGTCCCATATTGGATGCTTCAATGAGTTCAATGTCTCAAATCCCCGAAATGTGTTTTCACCAGCAGCTCCACTCACCCTAGATCCATGATATCCCCATATTCCATTATATTCCATTCCGCTAAATTGTCCTTTTCCCATAATTTTCTATGGCTATATTTTAGGTTTACATTCCCAGGCCCATGAAAAAAATCTCCGGCCTGGCAGGCCCAGGCCACAGCATTCCACAAGGAACCTGGGTATTGTGTGTGTGATATACTAACATCTCTATTCTATATATGTAACCGTATCTATCATATACACTATGTATTGCACATGTTTATACAATGATCATATATTCTATGCATTATATGTTCTATATATATATCCATATATATGTAGACAATGTCAACCCTGGATTAATAAACCCAAAACGGCTGTTGAATTGGGAGGTACCATTTAAGTATCAGATTATTACTTTTGGAGGAATACCCCTCTAATAAACCATGATTTATTAATCCGGGGTTGACACTACCCACAAGACGGCACGGAACAACTCCACAGGCTTCACAGGCCATCGTGGATGGTCCAAGTAGCCAATCTTTCACCCGACAAAAACTCCGGAAAACGGACAATTTCCACCTTGAAGCACGTCATCAACTCTCCAAAACTGGATCGGAAACGAGAATTCATGAAACCGATATGAGGATGGGTCAAAACCCTGGTACCTTTTGTTCACCCAAAATAGCTGGGATTTATGGATGTTCATCCCACTAAAAATGGATTACTATAGGTATTGACCCATAGCCATATGAAATTTCATGTGTTCCCATCTAGTTTTTGGAGCTGAAGCGATGGATTTGCAGGGCCTGGGAGGCCTCACCAGTGGGGTCCCTGGTGCCCATCATCTGCAAGGCCTGCTGCCAGGCCTGGCCAAGGCCACCTCGGAGCTCGGGGTGATCCCAGGGTATCGAGGTTGAGCTACCAAGGAATCATAAACATGGGATGATGTTGATTTTATAGAAGTTTATTTATCTGGATAATCTATAATCATCTATAATCATCTACAATCATCTATAATCAGCTATCGTGATTTCACCCATGGCATCTGAATAATCTATCATCAATGCCAAACTTTGAAGTCTAGCTGCATGGGATTGGTTAGATCAAGACAAGTATGGAGCTTGGAGTAATTTGAATCTTCAACTATCCATCGTTGGACCATCTAAAGCTCCTCACAAAGGATTTGTCTCAACCAAAGGTCGTGAGAATATCAAGATTCAGTACTTCAAATCCAACAAATCGAAAAACTATATATGGGCTGGGGGGTTCCATAAATGGGGTACCCAAAATGGATGGTTTATGAGGGAAAATCCCATCTATAAATGGATGATGACTTGAATGACTTGTGTACCCCTATGACTTAGGAAACCCCCATATCTATGCAGATTGATTTCAGGTGCGAGACTTCAGCCACAACTTTTTCCCGCTCTGCTTGGCTTCGAAGAATCACACTTTTTGCCTGGCACGGAGCGGTCCCAGTCTGGGATGAATGTTTTCAAACAGCTTGGAATTCTGCCAAGATTCTCTGAGTTTGGCAAGCTTTGGTTAGCCTCATAGATCCCATTCATAATTAATATATAATTAATCAGATTAATCAGATTTCATCCTTGTAAAATTCCAGTAAATCCATGTAAATCCCATCCGCAGTTTTCATGACATCAACTCGCTCCAGCTCCGTTTGCTTGGCCTTCTGGATGGCTTGGAAGATCTTCTCATGATCGAGCTCGCCTCGAAGATGGGATCACAGGTTGCCTAAACTGATGGTAAATCCAACAAATCGTGGATTTATGCCAACAAAACAAGAGCTTTGTACTGTACATCTATAACTGAGGTTCTTAAACCTGTTGGAATTGAATATAACGGATGGAAAATCACGGCTAAATCATGTCTCACTAAATCTGGCCACGTTCATCCATTTTCTATGGGTAAATTTGAGATCAAATGCACATCTTGAGCCAGTGCTGTTTGGGATGAAACCTCTCTGAGTACCAGCCTGGGACTGCAAATAGGATGCCTCCGAGGCAAAGGAAGAACAGCAAGATACCCACCATGTTACCCCATGGCATCAGTTCCCATATGATTCCATAGCTTCCCTGCTTCTAAGGCCTTTTGAATAATAGCTGCAGTGATCCTATAACAACATGGATCTCCATCTCCGAAGCTGAGGCTGCGGAACCTAAAGATTCATCCGCTTGGGGGTTCAGTCAATAGGTACAATAGGAAGTGTGCTTGGGACACAACCCCCGGAAAAAAAAAAAAGTTGCTATCTACTTGTAGGTAGTAAGTGTGACTATAACAGTTTGTTCACATGTGTTTTCACGATGGTTGATCATGGCCAAAAAGTGCAACCATGGTGAAAAGACACCGCCATCACCTCAAAATTGTTATTTTTTCCCATGGGGAACCTGGGGATTAGGGCATAATATACCCACTTCTTATGTGGAGGCTGCACCCGGCTCCACCTGCTCCACGTTCTCGGCGATCTTTGGCTCAGCTCCTGGTCGTGAGAATCGGGCACTCAAAGTCAAACAGAAACTAACTAGAAACTAACTATATATATATATATCTTTAACAAACAACGGTTATATGGGATATATATGGGATATATATATATTGTATGGGATATAATGTGGGATATATGGGATTTATGTGGGATATATATGATCCCGGTCCTAGGTTCGCTAGCCCCCCCTGCAGTGGTATGGTCCCCCCCCCACCACACCACAGGGGGGGAGAGGGGGTTGTACCAGGGTATCATGGCAATGGATGACGACCACACCACATGACCATGGATGGGGGGGTGGGCCTAGAACCTGGAACATATATGGAGAGTTCCTAAAATGTGGGTACCCAAAAATGGTTGGTTTGGGAGGGAAAATCCATCTACAAATGGATGATTTGGGGGTACCCCTATTTCAGGAAACCCTCATATCCTTAACAAACAATGGCCATAATTGTTCCTTCAACCTGAAGCTATCTAATGGGATGTTTTTTGGGATAACAAACAGAGAAACAAAAAAAAATGCGATCTTAGGAACTTGTCCAGACAGTTCTTGAAAATTCCTAAACTGTTCTGAATCTTGGTGTGTTGTTCTGTCTGGAAACATTGGACACCGCAATTTTAGGCCATAATTATTCCTTCAACCTGAAGCTATCTATCTCTGGAGTTGATTTCAGGGAGAAAACACAGGAAAGCCTCATGTGTGTCCAGGTAATCCACTATTTTCTTGTTGGTATTCGCTTGAACGAGGCAACTCACCTAAGCCAAAGCCTGTTGCAAGCGAGATGCCAACTTTGGCACGAGCGAAGCCCACTTTCGCTTGGTCCAGGCTTCCGTTCTCAGTTCGCCGAGGAAGCAGAAATCAATGTTGGAACATGTCAATTGAGCAGTGTTCAAAATCCCTCTATCATTCCAATAAACTGGCTGGTTTATAGGGATTCCCCTATTGGATTATTATAATACCCGAATCCCCAATATATTGGGTAGTATAATCCCCCATAATCATCAACCAACAGGGGTTTTGAACACTGCTCAATAGGCATCAGCCAATTTTCCAGGCCCTCGGACCCCGCGGCTGAAGACGGTGAAGAAGTGACGCATGAAGACCTGCAAAATGGCTTCCAAAAGAAACAGGTTGCTACACGGCTATGGCTCAAGACCCCAGTACCTTGGTGAACAGCAAAATAGTTGGGGTTTATGGATGTTCATCAAAAAAAATATGGTATGATAGTTATGATATGATAGGTTTTGATCCAGACCCACATGCCAAGTGCACCAAAAAGACGCGCCTCCCCAAGGATCATGGCGGGACCATAGGATTTGCGCTTGATGTCTAACTTCATGAAGGCGGGACGGCAGGAATCATACTCATCCATCACCTGGGCCAGGGCTCTTCCTCCGGCTTGGGGCCAGCAAAACACACCTCATGGGAACATATGGGATGGTGTCCAGGAAGAAGATGGGCAACTGAGAGGAACCCAAAATCTGTGGGTCGTTGGTTCTCAAAACATCTGAAAATGTTGACCCATGAAGACTCAAGTCCACTTCCCCACATGCAAGCATCATATCACATTGTAAAGCCAACAGAATCAACAACATCTATGACATGTCAACCTCAAATGGGTGTGTCGGAAAAGGAGGTATGCTCCCAAATCACCATTTTAACAGGGGAAAATGTGCTGATTCTAATCCATTGGAAATGGGAGCACAGTCTGTTTTCAAACAACTCAGATCCCGTGGCGCTTCCGCTTCAGCAAGGCACCATGTAAGTCTCCTGGCTCACCTGATGCAGCAGAGATTGGTTTGGAAGGTCAAATTGGCTGTGTCAAAATGGAAGCTACCCGCAACACAATTGATTTCCGCGAAAATATGGAGAAAATAACCCATGTTAGATAATCTGGATCCCCATTTAAGTGGTGTTCTCTACTGGTTTCCTAAATCTTCAGACCAATTCTCCGCCAAATAAATACAGTGTGTCCCGTTCTCTGGTGTCTGTAACCCAAAGGAAAACACGAGAATTTGGAAGTGATTCCCGAAATGGTGACAAATTATGGTTAAAATCATTGGGAATGTTCATGAAATATTTCGCTATATGTCCATTTAATCTATTTTTTGATACCAAAATAAAAAGGTTGGCTCCTAAAAAGGTGCTACCCTCAGTCATCATCCATTTATAGATGGATTTTCCATTGCAAACCATCCCTTTTATGGGGTACCTCCCAACCTCCAAAGTGAAGGTTTTGTTATGAGCGCTTCGCAGCACGTATTCGATGGCTGGGTAGCCTTCCACCTCACCTGAGGATGTCGAGGCTCTCGTGGTGCTTGGAACCACACATGGGGGGGCTGTTGGAAAATTGCGTATCTGTAAATTGGATGAGTTATCATCCTTTATTTGAATATATAGATACATATCTGCAATATAAATCATAATATATATATATATATATGTATGTAATATAATGTGAATCTATATATATATATATAAATTGTATCTTATATTGTATCTTTATATTGGGGTATATCCCCGTGTTTCCCACGTGCCTGGGATATCTTGGGGATATCACCTCACCTAACCAGAATTCTAAGAAGATTAGTGGAGTACCTCACAACGGTCACAACAAAAACACATGGGGGGTTCCTAAGTCATAGGGGTACCCCTCAATCATCCATTTATAAATGGATTTTCCACTAACCATCCAGCTATGGGGGTACCTCCATTTATGGAAACCCCCATAAATGAAAGCGAACACCATCCCGGAACCGCAGCGAAGCTTTATCTGGGAGACCCCCTAAGCAAATGCTGTTGGGGGGAAAAAGATGGAAAAATACAGTAGCTAACTAGAAATCCCAGAATGCTAAACTTGGTTATGGTTAGAATATTCCCAGTTAGAATCTCTTCTTAGCATATTCTTTCACAATCTCAGTCAGATTTTATTCCCAGCGACTGCGGCGAAAAACAGGGCTGTTTCACATAGGACGAGCTGCTGCAGGGAGCCTCTGGGAATTGTTTCATGATGCTGTAGAACATCTCCTGGTGGCGGAAAAAAATGGCTACGTGTTGATGAATGATAAAAGCCTCTGGTTATGTCAAAATAGCTATTGAAAATGGCCATAGAAATACAGTAGTGGATTGTTCCCATTAAAAATGGTGGATCTTTCCATAGTTATGTTAAATTACCAGAGGGTAGCCGCTGTTGATTGGAGTGTGAATCACCACATCAATTGGGGATGATTCACAATGATAGGTTTGCAACGAAAGCTTGCTAATGGGCCTAATGTTTGAGACTTTTCTATCTCTCAAGACAATTCGGAAAGAAAGAACAGCCTTTACTCCAACCTCAGAACTCTATCCAGAACCAAAGACTCAAAGGTTTGGGCAAGGGTGACATCTGGGAAATGGGTTTGGGGAAAAATTGGGTCACCTTTGGTGAAAAACATTGTAGCGAGACGAAAAATAACAAAATCTGAACGATCCGAAAGCCAAATTTAAGATGCATGCTACTTAGCCGCATCATGACACCAGAACGCCGAGCGGCCGATGGTGCAGTGAAGTAGGTTGTACCACTGTCCACCAGCACATACTTTGCCTGGCACTTGACCATTTGTAAGGACAGGTGGATCCTACCTTATCTTCCTCTCGGCTACAATCTTGCTTCGACTCCAACAAGCCCGCCTTGTTGTCTTCGGATACATGCGCCTCCCACAGTTTTCAGTAGCACAGCCACAGCAGCCACAGCAGCCACGAGGCCTAGCCCCGCCTTCAGCGACTTCCCATTGATGCGAAAGTCCACCAGTTCCAGCGACCTGGATACTGGCACGACCGCTGGGTTTTTCGGACAGACCCGACCATCAAAAAAAACCAACGGAAACCAACATCAGAACCATATAGAAGCTGGAAAATGGTCATTAAACATCAGTTATTAAACATCTTCCAGCTTTTTGTTTGAAACAAACTGACAAAAATAAAGCTGGAAGATGGTCATGAAGCATATATTGAAGCATATTGGGGATCATGCTGGTTGACTCTATGGACCAACAAAAAAATTGAAATGGGCAGATAGGGGAATAGGGTGAACATCAAAATGGCGAATAAATGGATGTTGATCTCCCTAAAAATGCTATAAATTAGGGTAGCAGATGACGCTACACTTCCGTTTGGTGACGACATTTTTGAAATTTGGGATAAATTTGGGAGAGTTGACATAATTTCCTGATTTTCAATCATAGTACCACAGTTTGTTGATCCGGGGATGAGCGAAAAACTCATGGACTGTAGACCAATCAACCTACCGTCAATGGATTGGATTAGGGGAAAATTTACAGGAAAGCCCCATAGTTAATGGGAAATTCTATGGTTTCCTGTAGATTTTCCCTTAAACCAATCCATTGATACCGGTTCTTGTGTTCATGGCTAGCACCCCCAACGATCAATAGCCCAGGGTACCAGTAGTGCGGCTTCACCACCGGGAACATGACCTGGGTCCGATCAACACGCGTTGTGAGGGGAAGTCCCTGACCCGAAAGTTGGGAAAGGGAGAAAAACACAAGGCCACTAACCCATTTATAATATATATATATATCATATGTATAATATTATATATATAATATATGTATAGAGATATTATACATATGATTACATATGTATATTCGATACTAAAGGGGGATCACTTTGGGGACTAACCAGGGCTACTAACCACTAAGTGGGATAAGGTAATTGACTGGTTACTGGATCGTCCCAAGGATGGTCACTGGTAAACATGCTTGGAACCCATTTATCATGGTATTAGATAGCCGCGTCTAAAATGCTAAGGGATACCCTCTGGTAAATTAACATAGACCCTGAAAATCACCAATTTTTAGAGGAAACTAATCTTCCAACCCCTATCTACCAGGGTCTATGTTAATTTACTGGAGGGTATATCATGCACAAACCCGGGATATCCTCATGATTGGAGGCAAGATTCATCCAATTTTTTTTCTCCAGGTGGTGGGATCCCTCCCAAAAACAGCCCTGGGCTGCTTCCCACTTCACCAAAGGTACGATGGAACCTTCGAACAAGTCCTGCAACTGGGCAACTGGGCATTGAGTCAACAGTCACCACTTACCAATGCCAAGAATGATGAAATTATCACCCAAGGAAAAGACATGCAAATAATGAATCAATATAATCTGGATATATCAATGGCTTCCTCACCTCTCAACAACAAACAGAGTCGAGTCCACACATATCCTTCCCTTGACCCTTTGCTGACCTTGTCCACGCCGCCCCAGAGCAAAGCGCTGGGTCGATTGCTATCAGTGTTGAGGTAGAAGGAAAATTCGTTGCTTTTGAGAAGTTTCGCCTCGGAACCAGCAAATTGTTTTTGCCTCAGAATCTCCGGCAAAGCAATTCCATTGCGATGAAAAATCCTCGGACTCACGGAGTTCTCTACAAATAGATGAACATAGTTCCCATTTGAATGTATATTGATTTGATTATTTATACTTATACATAGTTCCCATAATATAATAACATAGTTCCATTTGCTTTCCCATTGCCACGTTTGACTTTCAAAGGGTGCCTGCTGTGATGGGTTTAGGCTAATGGGATCTCCCCACCATCTGCCGAGTGACCCTGATGACTCGCCTGAGCCGAACTGACGCACAGCCACCACTGGGTTAGTCCGCAAGATGTAGCATCCGCACACTGAGGCTTACATGTAGATTCAATGTAGATGTAGATACATGCTTCTTGTGCTTGGATCTTTTGAAATTGCTGACAAGTTGGCTGCTACACATGATGCTCGCATAGTCAGTAATGCTTCTATTCGGAAAAGAATGTAGAACATCCGCTGGGGGCCTAAGGGCTAATGTGTTCTGACCAGTGGCTCGAAGAAGGGTTCGATGCCTCCAAAGGACAACGAGGGAAAGGCCAAGCCTAAGATCCCTTCGAAGGGGAAGGAGGAGAAGACATCGCCTCAGACATCCGGATGGTCGAATGGCACGGGTTTAAGGGAAAAAAATCGAAAAGGTTCAAACCATTGGGAAAAACATGGAAAAAACCCAGCCAAATTCATGGTGAAAAACCCACTAATTCTCAATGTTCCCTTCAACCAACCAATTCTGGGACGGCGGAGAACTGGGTGATCCGTCTGGCAGTTTCCGAAACAACAGGTGAACCCATTTTGCAGACCATTACAATTTTATGTCTCAAAAACCATTGATCAAATACAGTAACAGATGTTTCTGCAGATTCCGCTCATTTGAAATCCAAAACCGTGATATTCGTATCATATTGATATGGAGGTTTCCTCAAAGTTGGGGTACCCCAAAATGCATGGTTTATCATGGAACATCCATCTATAACTGGATGATGACTGGGGGTAGCCCCATGACTTAGGAAACCTCCATGTCACTACTGTAGTAACCGGTACAGAAAGCCACCATTTTTTACACCTGGTTTCAACTCACCGTAACTCAGGCGGCCTGTCATCTCTCTGATCATGGCGAAAGGCTGCCGCTCCACGGCCATGGGACCTGGAAACTTTCGGTAGATCAATAGGATATGAATGGAATCTGCTAGATTTATCAACAGTCAATGGATTGGTTTAAGGGAAATTTTGCAGGAAACCATGGATTTCCCCATTAAATATGGGCCTTTCCTGTAAATTTTCCCTTAAACCAATCCATTGAAACAGCAGTTTCGTATGGAATACTATGAATATTATGAAACAACAGCTTTCGATTGTTGGCTGTCGGTTTTTATGAAAAGATATCAACGGAATATTATGGAAGATTTATGGAATATTCATCATTATGGTATAGTGATCCCCATTGTTGTGGATATGAAAATGGCAGATTAATGGAATAAGTATATATTCATGGAGTAATGACATATTATTAATGAGATATGAATGAAGTATTATTCATAGAAAATTCATGGAATATGATTGATGAACTATTCATGGAATAGATATGAATGGAAGACTACTGCAATATTCAGTATTATGATATAAATCCCCATTATGGACTATTCGTGGTGATATAATTGGGATGCCAATTGGGATATACCACAAAAAAGCTGGATATCATGTTTGGATTTATCAATTCCTGGTCTCTTTGGGAATTGATAAATCCAAACCAGGAACCAACATCTAATGGCCAGATGGGATGTGGGTTTCTTTTTTAACATATTCCAGGTGAAAGTTTGATTTATCAGCTGGACGCGGAATCGGGGATACATATGGATACATCTGATTCTAGTCAGGATTTAAAGTGGTTGTTGGTTCTTAATACGCCCCTATTCTTGGGGGAGAATCCCTTTGTTGGATGGAATTGGGCGCCGGCGCACCTACTCGATAGGTATCCACATGGAGAGGCCCTTTTAACTCGCCCGTGCCGAAGACAATGTCGATATCCGAATCACTCTCCTGGTGCGTTCTGGTGAATGCACCCCGTGAACCAGGATTTTGGGGCTGAAGAGTCTGAAGTTGACCTATCAAAAAAAGGTCCAGTGATAAATTTGTTTTTTGCTGTGTAGTAACTTCACAAAAATAAATGTTGATTCTGATTGAAATAGTAGTAAGTCACTTTTGTATCTTTTGAGGGTTATTATAATACTATATCCACTAATCCACTGATTAATTTGATGATTCGCCTCAAAATTCCCCCCCAGCGCCAGTCCATTCCATCTTCTATGAAGGCTTGGGAGGTTTTAGACTTGGCCTGTGACAGGAAGGCTGGGCCACTGGGCCATTGGATCTGGAACCATCCACTTACAGAATAGTGGATGGTGATGATTAGTGGACATGGTGAGTAATATTCCAATATCATAATTCGTAGAAGCATTTTTTTTGTGGACATGTTGATTATGGACAGTGCTAGACTTTTGTTTTTTTAAATATTTGGAAGCATCCACTGCTGCTCAAGGATGAAATGCTCAGCCATGGACCATGCAGTACCCTACGGGATGGTGCCGGACGGTGACCCCCAATCATCACAGAAAAGCCTCACGACACCAAGACCTTCATGAAAATTTACCCTGTTTTAGGTTGCGTCTCTTGAGCCCACAACCATTTGACCCATTCTGATTCTAGTGGCTTTCTTAAGTCATGCTCGAACCGACGGAAAGAGACTTTCTAGCAGCCAAACATCCTGGCAACAAAATCCTTTGGCACAGTACAGATTCCTGATTCCTGGTTGAGTTTTCGTTGGCGCGCCCTTCAGAATGTCAGTTGAAGACCAGCCGGTCACACCATCGCCGAAAAAAAAACACGTTGCGCCGTTGCGCCAAAGGACCGGATCGTAGAACTTCTCTGCACCATCGCGATCACACGGTGATGCCTTGAACATTTGAACACCACTCACGGTGATGCGCGACCGAGGCATCAATGTGTGTTATGTGAACCGGATAAAAATCACCATCCACAACACCAGAAATGGATTGGTTAGTGACCATCCCCAAAGATGGTTTATGGTTTAAGGTTTTACACATGGTTTTTCTTGGGGAGTTGGGAAACAGAGGATTTCCCCGGGATACAGATCATGAATCGCGCCAAATTTCGTCTTAACTCGAAATGTTTGATTCAGTACCACACAATACCAGACACTGAAAATGGATGTCTCTGAAAATGAGGAATCCCCATGAAATTACCATTTCATGAGGAACATGATGACAAACCACGGCAGTTGGATTCTTCCCCTACCTGCTCAGACAACGCCTAATAAAATGTAGAAATGAAGACGAAACGACGACTATATGCTGAACTCAAACATTCCAATATCTTCCAGTCATTCTGCGGTCGTGGATTCTGGTAACCAGCCAGGCCTTGCAAAGGACGGATGCAATCCACAAATTCGTGCTTCCAGTATCAAAGACCACACGGGCCTTGGCACGAAGATTGGAAGCAAGGATCACGTGACGATCGTACCCTGGTAAAACCCTTCCAACAATGAACCGAATTGACAACCTGACCATATTAATGGGATGGTAGTAAGGAGGTTTGTGCCTTTGACGCAATGCGACCCAGTTTTCTCCACGTCAGAAATAAAATGCCAGTCAGCAAGTCCCCATCCCCAACAGGTCCGCAACGCGGGCCTCAAATTGCGCATTTCCATCATCGGCAGTGCCGACCCCAATGATGCCGGTGTACTCTGAAGACATGTCCTGGCTCTTGCATGGCTCAGCAGGTTTTTTATCGGAAATCTGAAGTTGTATCTCAATCCAGATGGGGGATGGGCTACAAGCATCTAAGTGTCGTCATGTCGTGATGCTTGCAGTCTTTGAAAAAACATTGAACCAAAAATGGAATATGACTCCACGACTCCATCAGAATATCCTTGCCTGATATCTTTAGGACCCAAGCAGCTTCGCATTTCATTCAAGCTTGTCATCATGCAGTCGTCATGGGGAGCTTCAATAGGACAACTATCCGACTGCAGTTGAGGACCTCCAAGGGCGTTGTGAGTTGAAAGCCGGGTCGAGTATCACCACGGGCATCCACCTACCAAGACTCACAGTGTCACGTGGCTAGATTAAGGTCTGGGATCGGTCGTTCGGGGTGTCTGGGAAAGGGGAGTTATGCCGTGCATATCACCATGGATGATCAGAATTTCAGCAATAGTTTTGGGAGGTTGAGCCTATACAGGTTGAGCGTGTTGTCCCAAAGGCTCCAAGGGATATAACCTCAAAATCAAAAACCCTGTAAGCCATGGTGTACGGGATTCGCTCAAAAAAAAAAATCACACTTTCAAACGGAGGTGTTCCATCAAAATTCGCGGTTTGGACCTTGTTTGAACCAATAACCCTACCAAAAGAAATATCCGGAACTCTTTTGGAAAACATGTGCTGTTTTCCAATGGGAGAGTTGCCAAAGAATTGCATTCCATCAATTTCCATCCTATTTTGGGGGGATGGTTTATGACACTTTCCATCCTCCCAACCAGCACAGACCCTGCCAATGGCAGGGGGTTGGAAGATTGGTGTCCACTAAAAAACTGACATTTTGCAGGGTCTATGTCAATTTACAAGAGGGTATAGATGGGTCTATAATCCCCACAAACATGGAAAGAAAAAACACTTAAATCATGATATAAATATGGCTATGGGTCAAAAGCCTGGTACTTAGTGAACCCAAAAATAGATGGTAAATGAATGTTCATCCCATTCCAATTGATAATAATGGGATTTTGACCCACTCCCATATAAACCATCTTTATCTTTTCTGAGGGGTGACCCTGAACCAATCCACCTGAACCTGGGTATCTCTTGGGGACCACTTCCCAACCACTAACCCCCACCTGCACTGATCGTTGCAAATGCCGCGGTCCGGAGCGCCGCAATCGATGGGTCAATGCCTTGGAAGTGGGAAAAAGGATGATAAACATTGATAAACTAATGGGTATTCTATGGGATTTTATGGATTTTAATGGGGTTTCTATGGATTTTAATGGATAAACTATCATGGGGGCACCTTATTTCCAAACCAACCCATGCTAACCTGCATTGTCCCGGCACCTCAAACAGTCTTGAGGAGAACAAGGGGGGCGCAAAAGCTTCGGAAGAGAACTGGGACAATTACTACCGCAACAACCCAAAGTTTGAACACACAGTTTGACGAAAAAAGTGAGGGGTTATGCAGTAGTGCTAAAGACACGCGGAGGTCATCCATGATAGTCCTGATCTCATCTGATCATCATCCCTTCCCTTTTGTTTGGGACCCCAAAATAAAAACAAAAGGTTCCAGGGAGTGCTGACAGTGCTGCCTACGATGATCAGGAGAAGGGAATAGACCAAATGATACATACTATATATATATGTGTGTATAGTTAACCCTTGTTGACCCAAGTTGTGCTCCTGGCTGACTTTAATGGCGCCCGTTTCTAGCAGTAATTTGTAGGGCCAAGCTTCTGTTGTATGGTAGGCCGAATGTCCGGCATGAAATTCGAGCCCATTCCGAACCTGGGTCAAATGTGGCAATCCCGCGAGGAACGAGTTGTCAAGATGTCCGATGAACATATCCATCTATACTAAAAACACATACAAACAACTTGATGGCTCAAAATTTTGGATGACCAAGTTTGACCAATTTTGATCAATTTTGACCTATACCCCATAATATCTGCACATGAGCCACAAAAACAAGATGTGACCCGGGGACGGCCTCTATCCCATCTGTGTTCTTCACCTCAATCCCCTGCGACCAGACTGGATCGAACACGCACTGTTTGGCATGTACCCTCTGGTGAACTAACATAGCTATTGAAAATTGCCATTCATAGTGGAATTATCCATTAAAATGGTGATTTTCCATAGTTACGATAGTTTACCTTCCCGGGTAAGACAAACTGCACCTGCCTCTGTGCCAAATAGCAACCTCAGGTGGTTGCTGATTCGGCAAGTGATGCAATATGATGCAATTGGTTCAAGAGAACATTTACCGGTACAGGGAACCCCCATCTTTGCTGGAAAAAAATGGTGTCCTGTCCCTGTTCCCTGCCGGCAAAATCTTGCTGCACATCGACTCAACTCAGAAAGATCATCAAAAGCTGGTCCGATGGCGAACCTTTTTCATCCCGCCAGACGAACGCCAAAACGTGAAAGAAACGTCAAAGTTTCTGGGTTCATACAATGGTGTTCCAGATTATTGGCATCATTGTGTCATTGATCAAACTTTCAATCCTAGAATGGAGGGCACACTTTTCATGGCTAATCTGGTAGATCTCGTGGAAACAAATAAATCGTTAGATTGGATGATGATGTTGCCATGGCAAAAGATGAAAATAATAAACATATATATCTATATACATATATATATATATGATTATATCAAATTATTAAATTATATTATGTTATATTACATTATATTATATTACATTATGTTATATTACATTGTATTATATTATATTTTACTTTATTTTATTATATCTTATTAACATGTATAGTACCCATGCCCCAATGTTCCCGTTCTCCAAGGGACAACTGAAGAAGCACACATCTATGCCAGGCGCCTGTACACCGCAGCAGTGATGGAAATGTTCTCTGCTGTCTGCTTTGAAACTTGACACAACTGAACTTTGCATTCTTGGGTTTCTGCATATGGCAGTGTGTCAAAACCTTGTACCCCTGTAGTTCACATCAAAATAGCTGGTAAATGGATGTTCATCACCCTAAAAATGGTACTTATAGGTATTGATCCATAGCCATATGAAGAAATGAGGAGGATTCATGGATAAGTACCCTAGGGTAATCAAATATGGCTGGCTGGAAGAATCACTTCGATGCTTTTAAAAGACCTGCCATTTAAAAGGGACTTCCCATTGCCAGCCATGTTTGACACCAGAGAGTAGTTCCATTTGTCACCATTATTAACCACTGTCAACCATTCTCAATCATGCTTTCCCCCATATATCCCATGATATTCCAAAGGGCTTTCATAGTTGTAGCTAGTGTGGCATTTTGTAGCAGCGGGTTGAGCTGGAGAACCCCCCCGCCTTTGAACTGCAGACGGCCTGCTACATAAGAAAACACCTCAAGCTGCGCTGTGCACAGCTTCAAAAACGGACAAGAGTTGCAATGATACCCTCTGGTTATTTAACATAGCCATGGAAAATGGCCCATTTATAGTGAGTTTTCCCATTAAAACCTCCATTTATAAGGGATTTTCCATGGCTATGTTAGATAACCAGATGGTAGATCGATCGATCATATGCGGATAAGTCAAAATCCTGTACCCCTCGGCGAACATCACAATAGCCGGAATTTATTCGTGGCCCTTGCCCGTAAATCTGATATTGTACCGTAGGTTTTGGCCCATCCCCATACGGGCCAAGAATCCCCAGAAATGTACAGGATGCCTCGACTAGTGACTTAGTAGATCAAATCATCACATTTTTTTGTAGCAGAAAAACCCACTTTGGATGCACCAGTCACCATTGAACCTCACAAAGAAACCCGTTTCGTTCGAAAGCCCGCCCTGCAACCTTGCCAGGTTGCCATGTGAGGTGAGAAGGCTGAGGCTAAAGACAACAGGGGATGCGGACCGCATCCCTTTGAGCCAGATCCAAACAACAGAACTTGAGCAGCTGCAAGAGACCCCTGGTTGATGATTTCTCGTGATTTAATGGGAGTTCAAAAATCAGCAAACTATGGGGATATACAGTAACATGATATGATAGAGCTGATAAATGATGGTTGGTTGATGACCATGGGAGATTGTACTTAGCAATACTTAGCAATATATTGGGGAATATCACAATCCATTGTGGATGTCTCTCGAGGGCCAAACTGTTGTCAAGACCAACTTGGTTTGTTGTGCACGTCCCAACAAATCGACCGCGCAGCCAACATTCGGTACCTCTGTAGGTTCACCCACTGCCTTCAAAGATGGCTTGCTGCAGGTCCTATTGGGAGGATCGTATGACCTATCCCACTTAGTAAGTGATTAGAAACCACACTTACAGCTGTTGTGGTAGGAGGAGACTTGCGATCACCCAAAGAAATACTTAGTAAGTCGGTGTCTGGTCAAAGTTACAGGCTTCCCATATCCCACATATCCCCACTTCTAGGCTTTTAACATGGTTTTTACCATGATGACTGATCACCAGTCACCAGTCCAGTTAGTTATAGGTTGAATCATGTTGAATCCCTATGTTTGATCACCAGTCCCAAGGGTCCCTGACAGGCTCTGGCAGCACAGCCATAGGCACGCAGGTCCAAGGGACACCTGAGACTCCGCCGGTGACGCTTCGAATCATCTCCAAATCTTGTGGTTTACCCTCTGGTTATTTAACATAGCCATGGAAAATGGCCCATTTATAGATGGTTTACCTATTAAAAATGGTGATTTTCCATGGCTATGTTAAATAGCCAGATGGTAATTTTTGTTCATAGGGGATTTTCATGGATTCTCATGGGGATTTTCATGGGGATGTTCATGGGGATTTAGTGGATGTTGATGGATGTTGATGGATGTTCCTGGATGTTTTTTATTGGGATTTTGATGGATTTTGATGGATGTCCCTTGATTTTCGTTGGGATAATTTACTGGATTTGAATGGGGATTGAACCAACCCCCCTGTCAGGTTATCCTCCACAATAATATGTCTGCGGGTGAATCCAAACCTGCTACAATTGGGGTGTCGCCTTTGTGAGGGCTACAGTAACTCGTTTATGTTGGTTTTAAGCCATTCCAACAATACCAAAGTCGACTTGCATTCTGCATTCCATATGGATTTGTCTGAAAAGAAGGTATCCAAAAACTCATTGCTTTAATATAATTTTCCATTATTACAGTACATGGCTATGACACTATGATTTTGGATATACCTCCATTTTTGGGGGGATGGAAAAACACATGTGAACCTCCCAACTGGCCAACTGACGCCAGGTGATGCTCAAAACAACCTCCGCACAAATCGTGCCTTCGTCTCTGCATTGCCTGGTGGACGATCATGTTTCAACCAAACAAAAAATACCAAAATTCGCCAAAACCATCCAAAACCCAAATATGAAGCCAGCAAGTTGTAGCACATTCCTTGAGGCTTCAAATCCTCTTGATGTGAACCTGCGACCTGTACTGGTTGATCAGTGACCACCTGTGTTTAGAGGGTCTACCACTGCCACGTATATACTTTATCCGTGTGTTTGTTTATTCGACATATCTTACATCTATAATTTATAGTTATAAGTTTTACAAGTTATAGTATGGGCGTGTCTGAAAATAGTGTACCCCTAAACCCAATGGTTAATGATCATTATCCCTATTAAATGGCTATTTCATTGGGAATATACCCTATTTTCAGACAAACCCGTATAGTTTTCTCTACAAACATACGGTCGATTCCGGTAGATATAACCGCACCTCCAGGAGCCCGATGCAAATCTCCCAAGGTGCACCTGGGCTGCTTGACTCGTACCATCGAGCAATTCGAGAGGAAACAGGCTGGAAAAAAACATGGATAATGTTCACATGATAGATGATTATCATCAATAGGATATTATCACATCATGTTTTAGATAGATAGGATCCTAACATGTATCCACCATTAATCCATAGTAATCCATATCCTATCAGTAATCCATCTATCCATGACATGGCTGGAAACAGGGTTCACATGATAGGATATTACAGGCAGCAGCAATCGTGGATTTTCACGTTCATTGATAGGATGGATTTTCCAGCCATGGAAGGGCTGCTGAGGTCTGCTCAGGTCGCCACTTTGCACGCAGGCGAACATGGCCTCTGCAGCGTGGTCTGAAAATGGTCACCCAAAATGCGATTTCAATGGGATACTGGGGGGCTATAATGGTTGTAAAATGTTGTAAACCGTCAAAATATGTCAAAATTTGGGGTGCAGAGTTTTCAGACAAAGCCACTAGGGCATTCACAGAAATGTCAGGTGCCCTTTCCAGACATCCTACACATCCGCCGGCAAACCCAGCCTCACTAAAGCATTCCAAGTCGGGCCGAGGTGTCTCACCACCAACCATTGAAGAAAGCAGCCTTACCAGTCAAATCAAGGGGTGGATATCACAGCTCACCCACCCATACGCCTTTGGTGTCAGGTTGGGTTCAAAGCCAAAGTGCAACTGGTGAGGCTTCGAAAGACAAAACACCAATTCGCATCGAGGGATGTTGGAGACCGAACACTCCCTTCTTCTCTTCAACGGGAAAGATTCCGCGGTGAACCTGTTCATTTGGGGGTCCCTGAAGAGGCTATCATCTTCTGGGATTCTACAATAAGAATCACTCAAATATCATGGGCCATTCTGCCCTCTAGTACCCTGGCAACCATCCCACTGATCATCCCAAATCTTTCTGACCAAACTAATTATCATTGGATGCCAGATTTTCATAGAAAAATGTTGCTCGCGATTTGGTATTTACATGTATTAACCCCAGGCAAAAATGGGAATAGCTTAGAACATGTCTGCCAAAAAATCGATGGCTTTCCTGAAAATGACCCGCCTTGCAGCCGAGCAACCACAAGGCCCAGGCCCAACCAGCCGATGACACTGCAGCCTTTGGGCGACAGAAAGAGATCTCGTTTCGCTGTGCCTCAAAGAAACATCGTTTATTCAAGGATGTGGTTCATCAGAAGCAATCTCTTCCAAAAGAAAGGAAAATTACATACATACATTATATACATTATATACACTATATACATTATATACATTATATATATATACATATACATATACATATACATATACATATACATATACATATACATATACATATACATATACATACTATCATGATATGTCTGTATTTTCCAAACGAAAACTGTCTGAAAAAAATGCCTCAGAGACAACCAAACCAAAAGTTGGCCAAATCACCCGTCACTGCCCTTGACCAAACCACCTCCAAACGTAGCCGAGGGCACAATGGTTGCCCGGTAAGAACGTACCCGCGCCGTCTTTGCATCAATCGCCTGAAACGGGATGCAGATTCAACCGAGAAGCTCTAAGGACTCTAAGTTCACTGAATGGGGAATGAAAAAGGGAAAGGGGTAAAACCCTGGAATTGTGTAAAAATATTCTGATGGATATTCATGGGATGGGATAACTTCACACGCTTTGAATGTTTCTAAAAACATCCAGGTGAGCGACAAAGGGCCGAAAATGGGGTTGTCGCCAATGGCAGGGATAGACCCTGAAATTTGGGGCTTTCCATTTTTCCCCTCAATTTTCAGACATAAGTCACATTTGTCACACCAAGTTGGTTCGTTATCCCATATTATCCCATTATAGCTATATCCCATTAGATCCAATTATGTAGATCCCGTGAAATCCTACCACCCCATCGGCACTGCCTGTGCAAAGGTATGCAAGGCCAGAGGCCAACGCAACCCTCGGCCAGTAGCGGTAATCACCTGCAGTGGCAATGAAAAAGGGCTTGGATTGAAAGGGGAAATCCACAGGAAAGCTCGGAAAGCATGATTCATAGTTGCATTTCCAGGATTTTGATTGGCCTCAAACAGAGAAGGTTTCTTTTTTTCCCAGTTTCCCCTCAAATTCAACATGGTAGTTTGCGAAGTGGTTGTCTCGTTTCCACTCAGAGAAGGTTTCATTTTTTCCCTCAAATTCATACTGCGAGTGGTTTTATGCTCAACATGGCTTCAGTCAGTTTTGCCGAATGAAACAGTGCCCTTGACCTGGCACCCTCTATCGGACGTCCCGATCCTTGTCCCTTGAATCCCCATTGTTACTGAACTTTTTTTGGAACCCCAAGATCATTTCCTATTCAAACATGTGTATTGCAATATATTTACATAGATATATACATATAATATATATATATGATATTATATGTTACATATTATATATTATATATTATATATAATATATAATATATAATATGTAATATATAATATGTAATATATAATATCTTATATAACATAATATATATACATAATAATAATTAATAATAATAATAAATACAGTATAATTAATATAATATACAGTATATAACATTATATATCTGTGTCTGTTGGGCATCTGCTGCAGCATCCCAATTTATCTTCGGACAAGCCAGAGTGGACCAGCCAAAAGGACCACCCTGCGTCGAGAAAAACTTGCTGAGGCACTGTATTCTGCACCACCGCATCTAGCTCCAAGGCAGCCGCGCGCGCCTCGCAAAACGAGGTGAATCATGAATGTCTGGTCCCCGACTAGATGTCAACGCCAGACCTATGGAAATGTTTAGAAATCCAGATCTTAGCTTGGGTGAAGCCTCCAAGTTCCAATGGTCTCACAGCTAGCCCATTTGCCAAATCAAAAGGGCATGGAGTCATTTGTCAGCAGGATGTAGGTTCTTCTGGTTCTCAAAACATGCCCGGACCATCCTGGACCACCCTCACTAATTCACAACTCTACTCAATCACGGACACTGCAAACCCATGTATAACCACCCCGTGGCAAAACCAGAGAGTACCACCAGATTTGTCGTTTCCAAGAAATGCGGAGACCCCAAAACCCTAAAACAGTGAGATTTCTGGGTTCCCCCGATCCCCCCACCCTCACTTTGGGAAACGCACCGGTGGCGTATTTTCAGCCCAAATTCCCCCATGTCCCACACCTGTCTCAACAGGCAGCAAGCCGTTTCCCAAGTTCGGGATGCCGCACTGGTGGCACCTGTGGCTGGTTTAGATTTGAGTCCCATTGGAAACATGCTTTGATCTCTTTTCGATGCATGTTTCCACGGCAACTGTCAAGGGTGATTCAACCTGCCATGCTGAAGAGCATTTACATCAAAAAAACCGTGAAAAAATCTGAAACTTGTCAAGGTCACTGATTATCTACAACATCTACAACATCCACCAACCATCATCTTTTCATCGCTGAAAAAAAAAAGTCTGCCGAGTCACTGCTGATGACCACAGCATTCAGCTCCAAATTCAAGGCACACAGCTCCTCCTGGGGGAATCTCCATATGGATTCATGGAGATCACAATATCTACTGGTGAATCTCCATGGGGGAATCTCCATGGGTTTTATGGGATTTAAATGGGATTTAAATGGGATTTAAATGGGATTTAAATGGGACCATAGTGGGTTATAACCAACTATTAACTATTATTGGGATTAAACACTGGCTAATACTGGTTAATATTGCTTAATTATCCCAATCTTCACAATAGTATATCCCATGATTATCCCAATTAATGATAGATATTCACCAAACTCATGTGAGTAAAATCGGGTAAAACACCCAGAACTGGGAATTGTTTATTTATACCACCTATAAAAATGGGGATGACTGGGGGATGGTGCAAATGGGTAAAAAACCCACATTACTGGTTTTTAACCCCAGAACGTAGAGATTTCCTGATTTCCTGAAAAACGAATCCTTTCAACTAATTCTAGGAGCATCACTACTGCAGAAGTACCATCGTGATGTCCGGCACTGGGGTGTTGCATCGAGCAGCTTCAGTGTATCAGTTGGGATCATCCCAAATCAGGTTGAAAGATGTTGAAAGAAGATATCTGAAGCCACCAACCAGATGATACTATGATGATACCAAAAAAAAGAGAAAGAAGGTCGTCATGATTTCTAGGCTGCCCTGGCCGGTAACGCCAAATCTATCAACTGTCTAGCTCCAGGAGCTGGTAGAGGGTCATAGAGGGTCATCACGTTGGACAGGGGTTTAAAAAAAAATAGGATTGTTCCGAAAATGGTGTCTACCCAAAACTTGCCCAATTCTAATGGGAATAATTATGATCCTCCATGCTAGTCCATTGAAAAGTTGCAGTTACCCTACAAATTTTCGGACCCTGTGGCTGTTGATGATCCTCCAAATGGGTGATGATACAAACTGATGCTGAGAAATTGTAGACATAGCCAATCCAACTCAACATCTGTGGCTGGAAATTCACTACCTTTGATCAGGAAAAAAAACACCAACGTTACCCCCCATGCGGTCCAGCGCCCCTAGTGTTTGCTCCCACTGCTCAGCATCCTCTGCGGGAAAGAGATGGCCCGAGGTCGTCACCCCGATTTGCGGGGAAGCAAAAGAAAAACCAGGCCGATTCTCATCAGTTTTAGCCACTAAAATGTGGAAGAAAAACCAGGGTGATGCGATTTTTTAAGGACCATTTTGCTTCCCTGTCAACTTAGCTATTGAATTTGAAGAGCCAAACCAGAAAGGATGGAAGTATTGGAGGATCCTGGCAAGTGCGGAGACGTCCGCAAGCTGGCCTGTGCTCCACTTGCCAACACTCAAATTACTACCCAAATAGGGGTTCCCCCCCAAATCATCGAAACTTTCCCGTTTTGAATGGAGACGAAACCAATGGTCTTGTGGCTCCCGACCTCCAAGCTCAACAATCCCACACAATCTGCTACCTGTTTTGGATCGGAAAATCCATGTCATCTTCCCATCCCAAAAGTCATTTTCACACCTCCACCCTCCCCATTCCCATCACCTCGCAAGCAGTCATCGCATTGTTGTGAGCGATCAAACTTGTTTCTAAGCCTGTCGAGAGCCAACGGCCCGGCCCATCTCCCCACCGCACAAGCGGCTGTCATAGAAAGCACTGGCTGGTGCGGTTTGATCCCGCGAGACTACCCAAGAAGCAAACCTGGCCATGGAAAAATAGTGTATTTTTTATCCGTGAAGATCATTGGATAGACAGATAGATCTATCCTGCTACAAATGATGATTTCCCCAGCTTCTTGGTGACCTTCCTCATGGCTAAAGGGTTCGAAGCTCTCCCAGCTAGGGTTCCTAGGATGATATATGCACTGCATACCCACAATACATGCACAAATTCGTTTACCTCTACATTTACATATACATATGTATACATAATTATCTTTATCTGTGCCTACAATTGTGCAAATATATGTGTTACCCTCTGGTAATTTAGTACAGCTATGGAAAATGGACCATTTAGTTCGTTGATTTACCTATTAAAGATGGTGATTTTCCATAGCAAACTGTTAGTTTACCAGAGGGTATATCCATGAATATCCCAGTATCCCATCATTATCCCATTGTCATCCCTATTAAACATCATTATCCCATCATTATCCCATTACTATGGGTTACTATATAATATGGATGGACATTACATGCCACCATTTCGGGCTATAACCATCAGACCACTCGTCGTCCCGTCCGCCTCGATTTCTGGCCTCTTGCAGCAGCCAGGCACTCCGCTGCCAGCAACGCCGGGCGCAGCTTGCGGCAGCCTGAGCAGGACATCGGCAACCACGCTGATAGACACAATGGTCCACATTAAAATATGCTAATGGTATATCATGATATGATATGTATTATATATATTCTATATTATATTATATATTATATAATATATATTAAATATATTTATTATTATTATTATTATATTATTATTATTGTTATTATGATTGTTATTATTATTATTATGATTGTTATTTTTATATTGTTATTATTATTATCATTATTGATATTATCATTATTATTATAGTAATACTAATAATTGTATATTAACCATATTGCTGATGATGTGAATATGTGATAATGTGAATATAATTGTATATCATATAACATTATCATATAAAACTTATGATAGTTGTATTTGATAATGTGAATATATGATAGTGATAGTGGTACTGTATACATAACATGTTATATATATATGTATGAGATGCCGGTATATGAGATCACTGGGTATATGATAATGTTTATATATATAATATCAATAATAGCATATGCATAATGTCAACATGAACAAAATACTAACATGTATATTATCTACAATGTCTAGTACATGATAGTACATGTGATTTGGTATAAGCGCAACTCCGAAAATTGTAGCACATATTTCCTTTACAACTGCGCTGTCGCCATAGTCCAATTCTCGACTATCTGATGGAAAAGAACAAAAAAAAAAGGTCCCAATTCATGGCAAACACCAAAACACTTATCGCATGTTGTGGAGTTGCCGTGTAACCAACTTTGGGTCTGTCTTAAAGTACCTTGCCAAAGAAAATGATGGTTGACTATCTTTTCTGAAAATTGAATTGTTTTTTGGTATATACCCAATTTTCAGACAAACCCAACAATCATTCCATTTCATCTCCCATGTATCCCCATTAGATTCCTGGTTGGTTTACCCCCATGTTTTTTTTTGATATCACCATCTAGCAAACAAAGCGCATAAAACTCTTCCGCTTACCAATTCAAGTTGGTCATATTAAATAAATGTATATGTATGTACATATTATCTATATATCTAACATCCAATCAAATTAGATCCCCGTTATCCCTTGGATTTTTAATGATTCACCATCCTGAAGAGTTCGGCCTTTGGGATAGTTAGCCCATATAAAAACCCATCATTCCAGCGACGTCGCAGGCTTCAGTCGTTGTAATTCATCCAGATTATCCTGATGAAAAAAACCTATTCATATCCCATCATACCACCATGCTTGTTGATCAAATCCCCATGTTCGTTCAATTTAAATTCTTGATAGTTAAGCCACAATTTTTTGGTGGGTTCAACGGTGTTTCACCCCATGAACCCACATGAATCCCTTCAGCATTGTCGCTGATCTGAGTCCACCCCACTCCATATGCCACGATGTTGAGCTCTATCGCCTGACCCGATGGTGACCATTTGGGTGGATCATAACCTTGGGGATTTACCAGAAGAAAAATGCAAAATTATAGATGGGATTTATCTATCCCTGGGATTTTTACCCAGCAAAAAAATGATAGATTTACCAGAAGAAAAACATCGAGTAGAGACAGATATGCCAAACGTCGTTGAGATGCAACGACAGAGCCAAGGTTTTGAAGGCCAACAAAACCAGAGATGGGCGATTTATGGTAGTAAACTCTCAATTTTAGGTGCCTATGAAGTGAGCCACGCTTGTACCCAAACAGTCCAAAGGATTACCCGGTTGCCGGCGAAACGTGGCGAAGTGATGGCCTCCTTCTGCGCATCTTGCAAGAGGCACACAGCAGCATGCCAGTGATCCGTGTCCTCTCGAAGTGGCGGTACACCCCATGCCAGCTACACCAGCAGTGCTCATTTTCAGGTGGTAATGCTCATTTCCACTGCAATAATATGTTAAAACGAAAACAATATATTCATCACAGGTATTTGGTTGGCTTGGTTGGCTCATGTTGGCTCATACTGATACTGCCTTTAGCATGAGACAAATGGTGAAGGTACACCTTGGCTTAACGTTTTTGAATGTTGTCTTGCTGACTGTGGTTCCCTCGGCCTCAACTTCGCCATTCAAATGTTGTTTCCCCCAAGAGAAAACGACACGACTTGGAGCGACTTTCGCAACGACTTGGACCGTCGGGACCGAAGAAATTGAACAATCCCACAGAATCCCACATCAGATTTCTTGGGCATTGTTGGGCCATGTGATTGTTCAACCAGTTACCAACCAGTTACGCTGGTCAATGAGTTCTAAGCCAACACCTTCTGGCTCCGCGGCTGGGCATTTTTTTGTGACTGGGCGATTGCCAAAGTACTGGTTAGATCTGGTTACATCTGGATATGCAGGTTCCAAAAAAGATTGAAAAGTGACTTCCTGATATTTTTGTGCGTGGAAATGAATGTTTCAATCTTATTGGGGATCACTATGTAAAGGTTCTGATTAAGCAGTAGATGTCTATCCCAAACTGTTGAGCTTTCCCCTTGTCGCGGCCAGCTATGTCACTCTCCTCCAATGCTGACACCACAGTGCTGATGCTGACGACATCCTCGCTGCTAATCTATGAATTTGCTATGGAAAATTACCCTGTATAGATGATTCAGCTGTTTAAAAAATCCAATTGTTCATACTTCTGTTAAGCTACAAGAGCGTACCACCCAATATGTTGCATGTATTAGATAGGATAGGTTGATAGATTGTGTAGCACCCAATCGCTGTAGCGGTAAGCACCACAAGAGCATTAGAAAGAAGCACGAGAAAGCAGACAGGGCATGAATGTCCAAAACGACAAAACAAACGCATCCACTTTCTATTAGAGTTTAAGTCACTCTCCCGTGCCATGCATAATTTTGGCATTTGACTGCAAAGTGAGACCAGAAAGTAAAGGCACCCAATGTTCTCCGAGTCCTTTTTGCTCAGAAGAACTGGGAATATTGGCAAGGAAAAAACAGATTTGCTTGTTTTCCTCCAATCTTGTGCATCTCGAAACCCTTTTCTCTGTTATTGCCATTGGCACGCAAAAAATAGAAGTAACTATCCCAGGATCACGATATACAGGAGGTTCGAGCAGTGCAAAACCCCAATGTCATCCCTTTATCGGCCTTCATTGATGACGGCTCCCATTCTGGACCATAAGAACCCCGCAATAAAGCAGGTTGTATAACCCAAAAAAAGTATATGCTGTAGCCAATCAACTAAACCATGATGTAACGTCTGATCAATACCATTAATATTAACTCTGATCAATCAACTAATACATCATTAAACCAGTTATATTCTATCTGTTCAATGGTTAAAATTCGATTTTCACCATGTTCTGCGGCTGAATTCAGGGCTTGCAGGTCATCGCCTTCAGCCCCTTGGGCGCAATCTGAAGCAACTCCCAGGCCCGTTGCCACCTCAGTGGCAACTGGGAAAATCGAAACCGGAAAGCCCCATATTTGCTGGGAAAATTCCCGTGGTTTCCGGTTAAGACTTTCCCTTAAACCAATCCATTGATCCAACCTGAAATTTGTTTAAAAATGGACTTGGAGACAGGTTCTGAAGAGAATAAGATTACCAACTCAATATATAATATAACATCTCAAAGTGAAGAATTTGAACCAGGACACCTGGGTTCCCAAAGAATAACCAAAAAGATGCATCTACATTAGAATCAACGGGGGATACCGTATTTTCATGGCGAAAATTGATGATTGACTATCGGATTTTGATGGATTTTGGGTGCTTTCCCGAAATGTTCAGACAAACCCAAATGATAAATTCAAAAGGTCAGACACCAAATCATACTCTCTCCGTTATTAGTATATCTCCGGTATCTCTCCTCCATCATATCTCCATCATATTTTCATGATATTTCCAGTATATCTCCATGAATTATCTCTATTATACGAACTATATCCCTATCTCCCTATCTCCCTATCTATCTATCTATCTATCTATCTATATATATATATACATCTCTGTTGTACGTCTATATCTTTCCAGTATATCTCCAGTATAGTTTTTATTTGCTAAACCCTGGCGCTCATTGTATGATCCACAGCATCCCAACAGGGTCACCCTGGTCACCCTCCAAGATCTCGCACTGAGACGCTCGGCGGCAGCTTTGGAGCACGGAGTTGTAGCCTGGACTGGACTTACGACAAGTTTGGACACCGGATCATATGGCTATGGATCAAAACAGTGGTATACCTAGTGAACATCAAAATAGCTGGGAAATGGATGTTCATCCCATTAAAAATGGTATTAATAGGTATTGATCCATACCCATATTATAGTAACTATCGCCAATGAATTACTAGGAATGGATGGTAAAGGAATGGATGGTAAACCAGTCCCAATAGCAGTTTCAATTCCATTCGATTCATAGAATTAGATGAAGGATGATGAAGGGAAGATTTGCAAGATGGTGTGTGTCGAACAAAATGCCCAAAACAGATATATGCAAGCAATGTCAAAGGATAATGTTTACTGTTGACGAAACATTTTTTGGCGATGAGAACGAAGTGAGCGATCAAACCAGCCACACATGCGAGAAACCTGTGACAAGCCTCCGATCAATTTGAGAAAGCACAGCAACATCATGACACCATATAAAATATATATATATTCATATATTTATCAAAAAGAAACAAATCCTGGGTCCACATCCAAGTAGTTTCCTCACTGAAAGATGGTTTTTTGTTCGTGTCGAGAATTCACAGAGTTGGGATCAGGGGTCGGTTCCTCAGTGGCAAGCTGATGATGTCCTGCAGACGTAGTGCAGCTCCTTGCCGCCTTGGCATAGAATGTGTCATCAAACATGGCGGGCCGCTGGGAATTGGACGAGATCTGCTGACTGTCCAGCCTGTCCAAACCAAGATAAACCAAGTCTGATTACCGGACGGTAAACCAATCAATAAGCATGAGCCATTGGGGATCATCCCACTTGAACTCGTTTGGTGAACAAAAAAATTGCTATGCATCCAATCACCGACCAATAGCTATTGGTTTGATTAAACATGTTCACTACAACCTTAAAGTAAAACAATAAAATGTTTCAGTTTCCACTTGTGGTTTTTTTTCACTCTGTAGAATCCAGCTGGGTTTCCCGACAAGAGTTCCAAAGCTTCTTTCCAGTCGGCATTGGGAATGCAATTTCGTATGGCCTAAATGCATGCAAGGAGACAAAAAAGGCCAAACCTGTTGCTATGGGTCAAATCCTGAAAAAAAAAAATGTGGTAAACCCAAAAACACAATTGTCATCTTCAAAGTTTATGTTCATTGGGTTTATATCACTTTATATCTAGTTGCCTTTTTTTTGTTGATGAAACCCCCTTTAAGTATCCCACTTCTGGGGGTTGAGTCCTTATTAATATCTACTAATTATCACAATCATCACGTGGATATTGTTTTGTTTAATCACTTTAAGACTCATAATTACTATGCATTACTACGTATTGTTAAGTTTCTGGGTTTACCTATTCTTGATTTACTGTTCAAACGAACTGCAAGACTCAGCGCTGCCCTGCACCTTGACCCCAAGCAGTTCGTGTGTCGCAAACTAAGCAGACCACGCGGTTCCAATTGGCCACGGAAAACTCCATCAGCCATCATGGTCAGAAAGTTGCCGTGAATCAAAAATTTGTTGCGTGCAGTTTTACCTATAAGACAGACTCTGCAAATTTCCGGGAAAAAATACATATACTGACTGAACATCAGGGTATGTAGAATCAATGTCAGCGCACGACATGCACCGAAATATGAAAAATTGCATTTTTCATGTCATTCAAGTACCCTAAACATAGCAAACATTGTTTGCCACCTTCCAAAAGCTGGATTCCCCCTCAGATAGCAACCCGATGCCGACAGCTGCAGCCGTTTGAAATGCATCAAATGATTTCCAACGCCAAAGATCTGAGCACCACTCAAGAACAAAACAGTAATGTGTTTTTATTCCGGGTGTAAATCACATCAGTTTTCGTTCCAGATTCTCCATATTTGTTTTCCCTTTTTTTCATTGTTTCGTAAGCATTGAAGGCATCATCTGCCACTAAGATTGTGAACCTCGAGTCCGACCCATAGCGACCTATGCAGGACACTGCACGCTTTCACAGCTTGACTTAAACGAACTCCGGGGGTGAAACTTCTCACCATCAAGGATGATCTGGGTATGGGTCCAAATTGGGGGAACAAAAAGCAGTTGGTACTGTACTGGCGGTCAAAATTGGTCTTAAACTTTGACCCATATCCATACTATCCATATCTCAGAGTAACAACTCCTTCTCTCAAACCGCGTAATCCAAGCGGAGCACCTTGTCTCCTGCAGGGAAGTCAAGGTGCTGCTCTCCATTGTGGTCCACCAAAGTCACTGCCATGAGCATCCACAGGAACCCAATAGTTTAGCCCAAAAAAGGGAAAATATAACGCAGGGAAAAAAAATCCTACGAACGATAAAAATCCGTTGGCCCCGTGGTCTCTTGAAATCTCAGCTGTCATCAAAGTCAAGCCCTGGCAGTAAACGCTGCGCGTTTGGAGTCGGTCCTTCCAGCGAACCAGAAATCTGCAACAAAGCAACAAAGAGGCATGGCAACGGGTTTGGGTATCTTTGGAACTCTTTGGAACTAGGCGTACCACATTGATGTGTAGTCATGGTAGTCAACTCTCAGGTAGGTCCAGCAGGTTGAAGAAAGCCTTGTGAACTAAATGCTCACCTCTATTGGAGTGGGAGATAAAAACTAAGTACCGGCTAGTATCCCCCAATTTCTGTGGGTTCCATATCAGTTCCCCTTGACTAGGTTGGACCACAATTTCACACTGGCTTTGTTGCAAGTTGTATTCCATTTGGGCGTGGCTCCAACCAAACTCATAACTAGTGGATAATAACCACTATTAGTGGATAAACCACTAGTAGTGGAGAATAATAATAACCATTATTAGTGGATAATAATCATTATATAATATATAATATATAATATATATATATATGTATATATTATAATATATAACCACTATTTTTTTAGCCATTCCCAACAAAACATCCAAATCTCGGCACCCGACCCGACACATCGCCCCACCTGCATGAACGTTTGCAGCGACAATCTGCAGGGAGCAACCGTCTGCTGCGCAGAAGTATCCAGAGCCTCAGCGAAACTCCAGCGGATTCACATGAGATTCACATGGCTGTCCTAGCCACAAATAGGTTTCCATAAAGCGGAAATCTCCACTAGTTGGATGGTCATGGAAAATCCATCAATAAATGGAGTGCGCTGGAAACACCTCAGCTGGGTTTCCGTGAGTTACATGGCCGCAAATCCTGTTGAACCTGACCGGACCCTTCTCCTGAACCCTGTTGAACCTGACCTTGCAAAGCCTCCCAGACCTTCCAGACATTCTCCGGAAACTTCTCCGGAACCCTGTTGACTCTGCACCGAAGCTTTCCAGACCTTCTCCGGAACCTTCTCCGGAACCCTGTTGAACCTCACCTGGCTCTGCACCAAAGCCTCCCGGAACCTTCTCCGGAACCTTTTCCGGAAGGACCTTCTCGTGAACCTTCGGAACCTTCTCCGGAACCTCGTTGAACCTGACCCGGCTCCTGCACCACTGCACACCGGAGCTATTCTGGGCTGAGGACCCCATTAGCTTATGCTGTTGGGGAACAAACAAACAAATTGAACGGCAAGAAAATGAGAAATACATTTACAGAAAAATATGATGAATGTTGCTGTCAAAGTCAATGTGGCTGTCAAAAATCTCGGGACGATGTTCATCCAACCCATCCATGTTGGATAAAAAATTACCGGGATCCATGGGTTTTTCCCCCATTTGACCAGTTGTCCATCAAGAGTATATGAGAAATCACTGCAAAAGTTGGGTATATTCGGTGGTTCGGAAACTCCTTGGCTCCCCAGTCACGGGAATTTGGATACCCAAAACGCTAACCACCGGCATTGTCATCCCCTACCAAGGTGCAAAGTCTCGAACGGCGTGGGGATACGCAGGATCCTGGGTGCTGCTGTCTAGAACGAGGTACAGCAATCGATAAACCCAGAGGGCGTTATGCAAAAACAACACCAATGTCCGGCAATACCCCAGTTGTTCAGCCTTTTTCGCTGCGGAAGTTCCAGACCAGCGCCACGCTCTTCCGGAAGTTCGATTGGATCAAATCCCAGAACGTGGTCCCCTTAATTTCAGGACACTTGTCGTGACAGTCGGACTTCGTCTGAGATTTTTTTGGGATCATCCTTGGGATCCCTATGGAATCCTATGGAATCATGATGATCCTGGCCATGAAAATGATGATGGACAACTCGCAAGATCCACTGCTGAAAAGAATTGTCCCTTTTTTTACATGACCATTTGGGGGTATGGCCATTGGTCCAGCCCATCCAGCCTGTAAAGATCAAGAATGCGGAAGCTATCCTAGGCTCTACCATATCTTTATCGTTATATAAGACTACTGGATATAGATATGGTAAGTGGAGCTATCTTATATATTTAAGTTCATCAGTTACAGTAGTCCATCCAAATAAGTCGATAGTGAGAGGTACAATATAAGAGTTCATTAGCCTGGCATGGTCAAGAAGTTTGAACTTTTGAACGTAACTAATGGCCAGCTTGTCCTTCTAGGCTTCAGCCGCCGAGAGGGACTTCCGGAAGGTCTGAATTCGTCCAGGCGGAGCTGGTGGAGTCACCCTCAAAACATCGACCTCGATAGGTGAAATCCCAACTTTCCAGCAGCTTCACCGCTTCATCTAGACATCGAGCTACCTGGTGAATGTGAATACTCGAGCACATTTGGCTCAACTGCTGGTGAGTTTCCGACTGGATTTGGTGGTTCAGCAAATTATGATCATGGAATTAGGGATTGATGATTAGGTTTCGTTTAGTAGTATAGCCAGTACAGCAGCACAAAAAATAGAACCAATTTAAGACCAGCTGAAACCAGGACATGGTGAGAGTTCATGTGACTTCCAGGCCAGCTAAACCTACCAAGGTGGCAACGTGGCATCTCTGCCGCTGTTTCATGGATCCATTGGGCCGGAAGGACCCATTGTTTTGTTGCAAACAGTTTCCTCAAATCCAGGCACAGAAAGCCAGGCGATGGACATTAGTAAATGTACAAACGGCGAGTACATCTCCGGTGCCGAATGTTTCAGCCACCAGTGAGACTCCCTGCACACCTTCCAGGGCGGCCACGTGAAATTTGGGTGGTGGTTTCACCATCAAAAAAAAACTTTGCGCTTGAAAAAAAGGCGTGTCTTTTGGCACTCACACTGGTCCACATTTGCTGTCAAAAGGAACCTAAAATACGGTATCCCTGCCTGTTTGCCAATCACTTCGCAAACCTATGGAGTTGTCCAACAGAAGAAAAAAAATTGGATCGTCCCCATGGACAATTTTATTTTGATGACATCGCATGTTTCAATATGTTTCATATGTCGCATGTTCATACTTCATATACCCTCTGGTAATTTAACATAGCTATTGAAAATGGCCATTTATAGTGAGTTTTCCCATTAAAAATGGTGATTTTCCATAGTTATGTTAAATTACCAGAGGGTACTTCACTGTATTTGCCAGAGAACCACCAGACCATGGCCCGCAACCGAGATCAACTCGCGTTGGAGGTGCCATTCCCGCCGGGCTCTCCTTCACCTTGGTCAGGGAGAACGGTTCCATTTTGGATCCCTACACTTGGCTCCCCACTGCTCCTTAGCTCCTTCCCAAATAGCATCCCATTCTGTAGGGGCAACTAATGGTTTCAGGGAAAAGCTACAGGACCCACCCACACTTGAAGCTTAGTAGCAAGATTTTCTCTGAAACCAAGCCATTGATTCTGAAGAACCTATACGCTTCATCAAACTGAAACGATGTAATTTGGGGATGATTCTCCCTACCTACCATCATCTATGACGTCATGGTGATGTGGTTATACTTTACCACGCAGTGGATGATCCTCCCACTGTTCCCACTGTTCCGCTTTCATTCTCCCTATGTTTGAGCTACAAAGTTCATAGCTCTTGGATTGGAACCTAAAGTTTCCAAACACTGAATGAAATGGTTTCTTTCAGGGTTTAGAATCACCCATTATTAGAATTTTCTGGGGGAGCTTCAGGGTACCCATATGGACAGCAGCAGATTCACCACGTCCAAGTCGCTGGGAGGGCCCTGCGGCTTGCTCCTTCATCGAGAGCGCCAACCTCACAACGTGCCGTCGCAACGTGGGAGCTCAGATCTTGGCGTAGCAAGGCTGCACTGTTTTTCATGGCTCGGATAGCTGGATGGCGCAGTAAACCGCAGCACTTTGGAAACCCTAAAGCCCTAAAGTCTACCGTTCCGAAATTCCACCCAACAACAATTGCAGTGTTGGACATTTGAAAAATTTCAGGAAGTTGTCAAAGTGCCCCCTTTGCAAGTTGGATCAAACCGCCAAGGCGCTGCAATGGCTGTTGTTGACGACGCTCCACGACTTCCTTCCACAGCTCACGCTCGTGCTTCACACGTTCCAATTGCGACCTGAGTCTCACAATGCCATGCAGTTGAAAGGGCTGCCAAGGTGGAAAGTTAAAAGAGAGTGTCTAAAAATGCGGGGAATGCCTTCTGATCAATTGGTTCACCTTCTAAACTTTAGCATTTTTGATCGCCTCCCTCGCCTCTTCGGACCAATATTTGTCCCCCAAAAAATGGTATCCAGCTGCTGATATATTAAAATCTTGCGAAACCCTTGGCAACCTGTATCTTTGGAAAGTGTTCTAGATGAAGAACTCTAAAGTCCTCTTACATCATATTTAAGAAACCCCTAAAGTCTTCAAACATCATATTTAAGAAAACCCTAAAGTCCTCAAACAACATATTTAAGAAAACCCTAAAGTCTTCAAACATCATATTCAAGAAAGCCCTAAAGTCCCCAAACATCACATTTAAGAAAACATTAAGTCCTCAAACATCATATTTAAGAAAACCCTAAGAAAACCCTAAAGTCCCCAAACATCATATTTAAGAAAACCCTAAAGTCCTCAAACATCATATTTCAGTAAACCCTAAAGTCCTCAAACAACATATTTAAGAAAACCCTAAAGTCCCCAAACATCATATTCAAGAAAACCCTAAAGTCCTCAAACATCATATTCAAGAAAGCCCTAAAGTCCTTAAACATCATATTCAAGAAAACCCTAAAGTCCTCAAACATCATATTTCAGTAAACCCTAGAGTCTTCAAACATCATATTTAAGTAAACCCTCAAGTCCTCAAACATCATATTCAAGAAAACCCTAAAGTCCTCAAACATAATTTTTAAGAAAGCCCTAAAGTCCTTAAACATCATATTCATGAAAACCCTAAAGTCCTCATACATCATATTTCAGTAAACCCTAAAGTCCCCAAACATCATATTTAAGAAAACCCTAAAGTCCTCAAACATCATATTTAAGAAAACTCTAAAGTCCTCAAACATCATATTTAAGAAAGCCCTAAAGTCCTCAAACATCATATTCAAGAAAGCCCTAAAGTCCTCAAACATCATATTTAAGAAAACCCTGAAGTCCTCAAACATCATATTTCAGTAAACCCTAGAGTCTTCAAACATCATATTCAAGAAAACCCTAAAGTCCTCAAACATCATATTCAAGAAAGCCCTAAAGTCCTTAAACATCATATTCAAGAAAACCCTAAAGTCCTCAAACATCATATTTAAGTAAACCCTAGAGTCTTCAAACATCATATTTAAGTAAACCCTCAAGTCCCCAAACATCATATTTAAGAAAACCTAAAGCCCCCAAACATCATATTCAAGAAAACCCTAAAGTCCTCAAACATCATCTTTAAGAAAACCCTAAAGTCCTCAAACAACATATTTAAGAGAACCCTGAAGTCCTCAAACATCATATTTCAGTAAACCCTAAAGTCCTCAAACATCGTATTTAAGAAAACCCTCAAGTCCTCAAACATCATATTTAAGAAAGCCCTAAAGTCCTCAAACATCATGTCTAAGAAAACCCTAAAGTCCTCAAACATCATATTTAAGAAAACCTTACAGTCCTCAAACATCATATTCAAAAAAAACTAAAGTCCTCAAACATCATATTTCACTAAACCCTAAAGTCTTCAAATATCATATTTAAGTAAACCCTAAAGTCCTCAAACATCATATTTAAGAAAACCCTAAAGTCCTCAAACATCATATTCAAGAAAACCCTAAAGTCCTCAAACATCATATTTCAGTAAACCCTAGAGTCTTCAAACATCATATGTAAGTAAACCCTCAAGTCCCCAAACATCATATTCAAGAAAACCCTAAAGTCCTCAAACATAATTTTTAAGAAAGCCCTAAAGTCCTTAAACATCATATTCATGAAAACCCTAAAGTCCTCATACATCATATTTCAGTAAACCCTAAAGTCCCCAAACATCATATTTAAGAAAACCCTGAAGTCCTCAAACATCATATTTAAGAAAACTCTAAAGTCCTCAAACATCATATTTAAGAAAGCCCTAAAGTCCTCAAACATCATATTCAAGAAAGCCCTAAAGTCCTCAAACATCATATTGAAGAAAACCCTGAAGTCCTCAAACATCATATTTCAGTAAACCCTAGAGTCTTCAAACATCATATTCAAGAAAACCCTAAAGTCCTCAAACATCATATTTAAGAGAACCCTGAAGTCCTCAAACATCATATTTCAGTAAACCCTAGAGTCTTCAAACATCATATTCAAGAAAACCCTAAAGTCCTCAAACATCATATTCAAGAAAGCCCTAAAGTCCTCAAACATCATATTTAAGAAAACCCTGAAGTCCTCAAACATCATATTTCAGTAAACCCTAGAGTCTTCAAACATCATATTCAAGAAAACCCTAAAGTCCTCAAACATCATATTCAAGAAAGCCCTAAAGTCCTCAAACATCATATTTAAGAAAACCCTGAAGTCCTCAAACATCATATTTCAGTAAACCCTAGAGTCTTCAAACATCATATTCAAGAAAACCCTAAAGTCCTCAAACATCATTTTTGAGAAGGCCCTAAAGTCCCCAAACATCATATTTAAGAAAGCCCTACAGTAAAGTCTTCAACCATCATATTTAAGAAAACCCTAAAGTCCTCAAACATCATATTTAAGAGAACCCTGAAGTCCTCAAACATCATATTTCAGTAAACCCTAGAGTCTTCAAACATCATATTCAAGAAAACCCTAAAGTCCTCAAACATCATATTCAAGAAAGCCCTAAAGTCCTCAAACATCATATTTAAGAACACCCTGAAGTCCTCAAACATCATATTTCAGTAAACCCTAGAGTCTTCAAACATCATATTCAAGAAAACCCTAAAGTCCTCAAACATCATTTTTAAGAAAGCCCTAAAGTCCCCAAACATCATATTTAAGAAAGCCCTACAGTAAAGTCTTCAACCATCATATTTAAGAAAACCCTTAAAGTCCCCAAACATCATATTGAGGAAAACACATATGTCTTTTGAAACACCACACTTGAACTGGCTAAGTCCACCTTCATAAGATGTAGCTGTTTCATGCTATTCTGCGTCCGGCCCAGCTGCTCGATATGTTGTTGGGAGATTTGCAGCAGCCGCAGCACGCTGTGGTCGGCCTATGGCTCGGAAAGACGGGTAGCCTCCAGTCATCATCCCCCTGGCAATGGATAATCTGATCATCCCCGTTAAATGGAAGTGTTACCCTCTGGTAAACATATGTAAACATACACAAAACTATGGAAAATCACAATGTTCAATGGGAAAATCCACTATAAATGGTCATTTTCAATAGCTATGTTAAATTACCAGAGGGTAGTCGGAAAATCTTCCATGGTGGATGTTCCATTGCCACGTTTGATTGGCCTATGGTGTTTGAAAATGATTGCCAAAGACCAGTATTGAACATGGGATCTCAGAGGGATATACATGGATATACCGGATATGGGTTTGTCTGAAAATAGGGTATACCCCCAATGAACTAGCCATTTAGTAGGGATAATGATCAGCAAAACCATTGGGTAAATGGGGGTACACAACATTTTCAGACACACCCATATAGCACCAATCTCAAATCCACATGGCTTAGATTGGCTCATCCAAGGTGTCCCATGGTGGCGGATCCGGTGAATTTCGCCGTCCCAAGGGGAGTCCAAGGATTTTGAGCAAAAAACCCACGCGACATCCCAACATCCCGGGCCTTCTTGGCAATCATGTCCTGAGTTCCGTTGGCTAACAGAGTTCAGCATACATCTAACACCATGGGCCGTAGCCAGTTGCAGAATCTTGCAGAATAACCAGAGTTTCTGATGTCTGACCTCCAGAACGATTGGTTCATGCCAACCCAGCCGTGTCATTGACAAACTGGCAGAGTTGATGCAACTGGCTGACATCCGCAAAATATAAACATACATTCCGTTCGGATCAGCTCTGGCGTTTTGCATCAAGGGAATGCCCATATAGACCATATATCGAATCTTTGATTCGTGTAGTGATTCAAGCGATATTCGCCCTGATCTCCAAAGGACGAGTCTACCACCATAGAAGCCCGGGTTCAACTACAAAATGATCTACCCTCTGGTAATTTAACATAGCTATGGAAAACCACTATTTTTATGGGAAAATCCACTATAAATGGCCATTTTCAATAGTTATGTTAAATTACCAGAGGGTATTTTATAGCCATCATGCTGTGCTTGTTTTTTAGGACCCCCAAGTGCAACAACCGCTGCCCCCGCCGTTCAGGACCAGCCGCCAGCACGTTGCGGAAGCGTTGCGAGCAGCGCTGACGCCACGCCTTATCCACACGGAAGGACATGTTCTCAGCGCACTCCTGGGAGCTGAAAATGCGCCAAGTTTCAATGGATTTTACCATAGATTTGACCATTTTTTATGTGGGAGGTGTCATGGGAACACTTACAGGAAACCATGGATTTTCCCCACAAAATATAGGGATATCCCTGTAGAGGAAAGATTGGGAAATAAAAAAAGATAAAAAAAGTGTTGGGGGCCGTGTGGCTACGGGACAAAACCCAAGGAATCCACTGATGAACATCATAAACGGGTGTACATTGGCAGTAATCTATCCCCATATATGTTTGGGGGTTTGTAAACTTTCAACAACTAGGGCTTACCCTCTGGTAGATGGCTGTCAATCCAAGCTGTTTCGCGGGAGAATCCCTCCTTGACAATATCCATCCGTAGATGATGCTCTTTGCAAAAAAAACTCGATTTCCCAGTGCGAAGTGTTAAGAATGGAGAGAAAACCATTCAGACCAACGCAGCTGGAAGGTGGGTGTAAATCATGGGTCATTAAATTTTTCCATTGAACATCACCCAACCATGAATGGTATATGGTCTATAATGGTTACCAACCCCTGTTGAATTTCCCGGAAATTTTCAAATTAGAGCTACGATTCGCATCACCAAAAACTGAGACATTAACGGCCGTACATGAACGACGACGGATGCAACTTCACGGACTGACAACGGGTAAATAAAATTCCAAAAGTTCAGTCAGTAACCATGGTTACCCTCTGGTAATTTAACATAGCTATGGAAAGATCCACCATTATTAATGGGAAAATCCACTATAAATGGCCATTTTCAATAGCTATGTTAAATTACCAGAGGGTAAACATGTGATGCTCAAATACCATGGGCTGTAGCCGAAAAATGCCATGGCTTTCTCTGGCTCAAATATATGGCTTTCAGTCAGAAGCTGCCGAAATCATGCCTAGCTCAATATTTTGGCAACATGGAGGTAGAACTCAAAAAAAAACTGCTGCTTTGGAGGCTTGATCTGACGATGGTTCCACACAGACATCACCAATTCTCTGGATTCATTGGTACCCCATATAATGGACCCATACGGCTGGTGCTACCCCCTCTTTCATCAGTCACTTGGCTGGAAAATCCCCCATAGTTACCTTTTTGTTCGATGATATACCCAGCTAGAAACATGATGATTTGGAAAATGTCCCACTTAGTTCGATGATTTACTTATTATACGTATAAACATGGTGATTTCCATAGCTACCCTCCAGTATTCCCCCGTTTCTTTCCACGATTTTCCCAGCTAGAAACCTTCATATCCTCCATTTATAGAGGATTTTCGATTGTTCCCGTGTGATTCACAGAGGGTATGTTACTCTTCGTGAGAAATACCATGAAATAGCATGAAATAACATGAAATACACATCCGGCTGTCCTCCCAGCCCAGGAGTTCCACATCGGCTTCTCCCTGGTCAGCACCCTGGCATGTTGTTTCATAACCATGCTGGACCGTCTCGGAAACGCAGCCACCAAGGAATGAAAACCCAAAACGTCCCAAAAAAAAAACTGGTCCAATATGTTCTGCTTAGTGCTGGAAACAGTGATATTGAGAAAAGTGATGATCATCTCATGATAATCTGGGAATCCCATGATACTCCATGGTCCTCTGCATCGTCAAACTTTGGACCAGGGAACACGCCCACCACCTGCAGGACAGAAAAAGCAGAGGACGACACGCTCAGTTCACCGCAAGGTACTTGGATGGCACACCCTTACCCCAATAAATAACTCGGGATGTTTCATATGCAATCTGCAATCATATAATGTGATATGACATGACATGACATGATATGATACGTGTATATATTATGTATGTGTCTATGTATGTGTATAACACTGAGACTCATTCACAGGTGGATTTTCGAGCATGCCGCGCTTGATATTTTGCCACAAGTCACTCCCTCCGCCTGAGCGAATTTCACCACTCCACGGGTCAAGGATGCAGTGCAGTGCTTTAAGTCCTCGTCACAGTTCAGGGGCCCCAGGGGCAGCCCAGGGGCTCGGGCTAAACCTCAACTTGTCACTAGCCATGGCAACAAGAATCAAGTACATCTCATTGATGTCGCTTCAAAATCTTCAAACCTTTGGCGGAGTTGGTCTCCAGCACCAGAGTACCGTTTTGAGTACAATCCACATTGCATACATCTCTGAATTGGGGACCCCAAAGCTGCAAATAGATTTGAATACTCTACCCGACCTGATGCTGTCTGAAGAAGCAGAAAATGGCATTCAAAAGTACTGTTTGTGTGGACATCATCGACCTCACGAAACAATGATCTTAGTCCCAATTTGGCCGATCCTCTTATGCCCTTACCATGCACCCCTTGGAGCAATTTTCCCGAAGTTGTTGTGAATGAGCAGTGTTCAAAATCCTCTATCATGCCTATATATTGGTTGGTTGATAGGAATTCCCTTGTGATTTGTAGTAATCCCCACTAAAAAAGGTAGTAGAAACCCCTATAAATACGCTAATCAACCCGCATTTTGGTCACTGCTCAATTTCATCCAATGCTTGATTTCGAAGTCCCCGTTCTGGCAGAACAAGCCCATCTGATGGCGTTTCTGTCAGGCTTGGTGGGGTCAAGCATGGTCAAGCCGTGTCCGCCGAAGCTTTGGGTGTCCTCAAATGGTTTCTCATTGACCTTCGTGTCCAGCACATCGTGCACGGCATCCATTTGAGCCTGGCGACCAATCAACTCATGGGAGTACTGGAGCGAATGCGATACCGAAAATGGTCACCGCGATACGAAAAGGTCCGCCATTGTTGGGAGGATATGATGTTTAGATGTGTTTTTTAAATCTATGTTTCTACCTTTTTGGGGGGTTCTATTCGTATATCAAAGATATGGAGCTACAACCATTTGAATATCACCTCTGTGTGGGGTAACAACTACTCACCATGGTCCCTGAAAATGTGGAGGTGCAAGACACCAGTATTAAACTATAAAACAAACCTAATGGAATCTTCATAAGCAGTCATAGGGCTGTAACCGACCACACTTGAACTGGGTGTCCAACAAGGCGACCTCTAGGGTTTTAGGTATTGTGCGCCAACCCCCAGTAGATCTCGCTATCCAAGATCTCAACAAGAATGAACGGTCCACCGGGGCGCCAAAAGCCCCAAGTGGGTGGTCCAGCCTGCCTCGGCCCTACGCTGTCGACTGGTCGAGACCCCTTTTTTTCGAATGCGTTGATGGCATCCCACGCGGGCTAGCGGGGAGTTCACAGCTGTGAAGGGCCCTTCACCGGTAGGTAAAGCCAGCTGCCTTGTCGTTAAAGCTGCAGTTCGACCATTCTTTTAAGAATGGCCTACACAATAAATGTTAAAGGGGTAGGCACGAAGGAGTGATATCAATGGGTGAGCTGATGAAAGCAGCATGGATCAGGATTGATCCATTGATCATCAGCGACAAGGCCAAGACGAATATGACACTCGCAGTGTCTCTTCAAAGAAATCCTGAACCTATCGACCTGATTTCAGGAATGCTACAGGTATACAGGTATACATAAAAGTACGACTACCAAGGTACATCAAGGTACCCACTCTTAACTCACCCATGCACCCTTTAAGCAAAGCTCAGGAAAGCCGTGCAGCAGATCAGCAGACCCCTACAGGGCGAGAGTGGTACCATCCTCATGGCCAAATGTCAGCTCCCCTTCAGTTTCAACCATGGACTTTCCCCAACAAAGCTGATCAGCTGATCAAACGACTCAGCCAAGCAACTGGAATTGCTCCTTAAAGGAACTTTCTCCGAAGACCGGTCAGAAACCGTTTGGACATGTTACCCACATGTTCTTTTCAAGAAGAATACGCAAAAAATAGCAAATATTCAAATATATCGTTCGGTGGATAAATCGCTGTCATTCAACCCGCCCAAAATAAAGGGAAAGTCACATCGGGTATCCGTTCGATGGCTGTTTGCTTCTTTGGTGTGTTCATCCCAAATCAAAAAAAAACACCTTTGATGAAGATACTGTACATAGCAATGAAAAAGATACTTGTATGTAAACTATTCACGGCTGAATCGGAAACACGGAAGTCACACATAACAAGCCCAAAAAGTAGGAATCGATTTGGATCCCGACTGTTCAAGGATTAAGAATAAAAAAGGATGAACACTTCACATATTCCCATTCTAAATCATCCCAAATAGAAGTTAATACCTGTCAACACGACCCCATTTTGGATGGTTTAGGGCTTGGGGTTTACCGTCAGTTTATCACGTTAAACGGTTTAAACGTCTATTTTTCAGCAAGAGATTTCTGACCGTCACCTACTCCGACGGGGCGAAAGCGGTAGCAGTTGGAGTCAGCCACTGGCGATCGTGACCAATCCTCACACTGGGTGAACCACGTATGAACTATATGAGAGATTTTAAGGGTTGGATGTCTGTCCACAGTGTCCACGGCACAGTTTGCTCGCAAGAAAAATGATCTCATGATTCATACTTGTGTCTGGGGAGGGTCGAGGTGGGAAGTGCCTACCCTTCAAACACAACCGGTGACAGTTGTTTGGGGTGAACAAATGGAGTTTTGAAATGGCCTATTTCCCCTCTTAGCCCCTAAAATGAGTGCCAAAAACATCCTAGCGGCTTTAGACCCGCTAGCATAATCTAGCATATCTGTCATGAATTGTGGCAAACATTGATCAATGTATTGGGTAAAACATGGAAAAACCATGTGCTGCGACCCCTTAAACCGCACGAAACGTCAGATGTCCCAAAAAAAAACCGCTGTCTCCGAGGTAAGCCGGTGTGGCCGCAGCGCAGCACTGGAGTGATTCGGTTTGGAAGCCATGATCTACGGTGAGGTGCGAGCGGATGTTCCCAACAATCCTAGCATCACATGCTCTTCCAAATTTAGACATGCTAAGCCAAAACCCTGATATAGTCGAGACCAAAGTAGCTATATCCATCCCCGAGACTATGGTAGCATGGGGTAATTTAACAATTTGCTACGGTAATGATTGACCTATTCAAACCGGTGATGTTCCATAGCTGTGTGAAATTACTAGAGGGTGTTCAAGGTTTTGACCCGAACAGCCAAATTTCACCAACAGATACACAAAACCTGATGTGTTTCTTTTGGCTTTTCTTCCATTTCTTCCAAACCACTCACTGCCTGTTCGGCATTACCAGCAGCTACGCCAGCAACCTGGTAAGTCGTCGCACCTTGCCTCCTGAGCACTGAAGCTCTGCACCCGAAGCTGGGGCTCCCAAACTTATGTCAGTTGGGGGCTGGAAGACTTAACTGGACTTACCCTCTGGTAAACATACAAAAAACTATGGACAATCACCATTTTTCATGGGAAAACTCACTATTTCTATGGCCATTTTCAATAGCTATTTTGACATAACCAGAGGGTAACTGGACTTACTAGATTAACAACAACCACTCATCCCGGAATAAAACCATCAGAAGTTCCTGAAAGTTGAAACACTTCACATGGTGTCCAAAAATGTAGCTGTTGGTGAATCCCCCCAGGCTATACCCTAGTAACGCCCCAGTATTTGTTTGACCAACCAACTTTGATCCCCTGCATGGATGTGCACACAAGTTAGTAAGTGGTTCATAACCTTAGATTTGCCCCATCATCTATGGCTTCTCTCACCAGTTCTGTTGCTTGAAAATCCCAATGCTGGAGTTTACACATCACCCCAGTCAACATGGCAAAGTCATTCCCGCTGCAACAAAAATAGACCGTAGTTCAATTACCATCTTGGTTTCTTGGAATTATCATACATGGCTATGGGTCAAAACCCTAGTACCTTCTGTTCACATCAAAATAACTGATGAGATCTTCATCCCCCAAATATGGTACCATAGGCATGATATGGTATCATAGCTTTTGATGGATAATATGGCTTCATCCCCCACAGCAATCGTTGTCAATCATGATCACTTCTGGGTTTGTCCGAAAATAGGATGCCCCAAAAAATCATTTGTTAAATTAGTTGATTATCATGTTCCCTATCAAAATGGTCATGACGACTGGGGGTAAACACCATCGAAAAAAAATAAAAAATAAACATGTGCAGACACACCCAAATATCATAACTGTGGTTTATATTTCCCGTTATCTCCCATATGTCATATATATAATATCCGGTTGAAACCCTTATTACAACCGTGTGGTTGCTTTATCATATTCTTAGTTGCAACTATCCCATCAAATATCCCATGTTATCATATGTTTACCATTTTTACCCCTAGTTGTGGTTGGTTAAACCCCATTTAAAACCCATCAAAGCACCATTTTCTCACACTTCCACAGGTCAGGCTCCTCAGTGGCCGCCCGCCTTCCTGATCGCAGGCATCATCATGCTACGCGCGAAGGCTGGGGGTGCCATGCTGCCCTTCAATCCCCGGTAGGGGAAGCTCCTGGCATCGACTAGGTTAAAACTCTGGCGCCAGGGGAAACACCTTGGAGACGCTCGGAATGAATTCTGAATCCTGGACTTGAAAATGTCTTTGCACACCAGTGACTAACTGGTATCATCCAGTTGACTACCCAGTTGACTACCAGGTTATATTCTTGTGCTTTTCAAAAGGTGACTTACTGGTTATCATCTGACCGTTGACCCTTGCACTCTTCGTGACAAAGCGGCGCGGCCTGACATCGTCTGTGGTCTCGCGCCAGCACATCAACGAATGCGAGCCCTTGTTGTTCTCGCCTGCCAGCGAAAGCCATGAAAAGCCCAGGCCAACATTGGGTTTGTCTTAGAATTGGATATACCCCCAATTCCAACGGAATATCATCGTTTCCCTATGGCCATTTGGATATATACATTTACGTGCATTATATATATATATTATTTTTATATATAATATGTATATAATATATGTGTGTAAACGTAATCAAATGTGTATATTTAAAATATATATATATGATATATATATATATCATATATATACAGTATATATATACAGTATATATATATACAGTATATATATATATACAGTATATATATATACAGTATATAATTCCCAAGTTCCGACACCGCCAACAGCTCAATCCTCCCTCCCGCAGCTCCTGACACAGACTGCGGCCGATGTTTAAAGGAAGTCGCCTTCGCTGGGACGAAAACTTCGATCGAAGGAAGCGGGGTGAAAACCACGGCAGGCTACCGCGTAGCCGGCGGAAACATGAATGTTCATATGAATGTTTCATCATGTGGTTTATAATATGTTTATATTATATATATATATGTGTGTGTGTGTGTTTCATAATGTGGTTCATCATGTGTCTCTACTTGTTGTTTCTACAGCTCAAAATTCAAGACCCAACTGAGCATCCATTTGGCTGGTCAATGTCATACCAACTTGGCTGACCCTCATAGTCAGTGGTCCATTCTACCTGATTTTAGCAAGCGGGTTTTCGCATGATCTCTTCGTTGAAAAGGCGTACCAATCTCCAGGTGGGTTTGTCTGAAACTAGGTTACCCCAGGATTTGATGCTTAATCATCATATCCTCATTGAGATTAATCATTATCAATCATGTTCAATAGGTTATTTCCAGTGAAATTGCCATTCAATTGAATAACATGTAACATGATGGCTTCAGCATAATGGAGACCTCAAAATGGCATGATGTTACCGATTAACCTTGCCATTTTGAGGTCTCCACAGCCCCCGTCGCACCACTCTCCCACTCTCCCACTCTCACTGTCCCCACCTGCGCAGTAAACAGGTCTCTTGCTGGCGACGTTTGAAGCGAGCCAGTGCGAAATCCTGGCTACAATGAGGTACCAAGATGTGCCAAGTAGCCATAGGTAGCCCTTGCCTTGTGCAAATGCATAATCACAGGTATATATTGAAGTACAAGTTGTACAAGTGCATCATCTAGAGCCGAAAATGTGTAGATTCCAAAATTTGCCCACCACATTGGATGGGAACATCCTGGCACCTGAAAAACCAGTGATTTATCATGCCAATGTCATGTGTGTTTTGTGCTCGCTGTCACAAAAAATGACCTGGTGAGAATTGCCATGACAAGCACCTGGAGGATGCGTCGCCTGTTCTGTTCCAATAGCCCCAACGACTCTATTGGAACAGAACAGGCATGGCATGGTAGAAAGGTCATTTGGATACGCGTGGTTTGAAGAAAATCCAGAGCAAAAAAAACATGGAAAACCCACCTCCAAATCCCAACATAGAATCATGTCCACTTCTTCCACTGTCGATGTTTCCCCTATATTCGTTAATAATATGGTTGTCTCTCAAGTTACCCTCTGGGTAATTTAACATAGCTATGGAAAATCACCATTTTTAATGGGAAAATCCACTATAAATGGCCATTTTCAATAGCTATTTTGACATAACCAGAGGGTATCACAAGATAGCAGCGCGCTCCAAAACTCCTCGAGAGGTCGAGCCGTGGGTGTTGCTTCGCACGCCTTCGGCCGTGTGCGGCCGCTGCCGCACGTCCTTGAAAGCAGCGTTGCGATGGCTCTGAAACGGGCTGTCCACTATGGCAATTAATGGTAATCAATGGGGAAAAAATAGCCATTAAATGGAAATCCATCGACATTCATCTGAATATGGTAGAAAGAATTAGAGAATCAATGGGAATGACAACTATCCATTATATAAATTGCTGGATATGGATATAGCTTCCACCCTTTATATATATATGCGTAATGAAATTGCTACATTTGAAATCGACTAAGCAACAAATAGTTGGTCCAGAATGGCAGCCCATTCTTGAACCTAATATTCATCAAATTCATCACAAGCGACTCAGTGCGACCCCAAAGGCACGGTTGCCTCTTCCGTGTTTTTCAGAGAACTGCAATGGGATACTTAGCAAAACAAAAGGGAGAACCCACAAAAATCAAATCACCAAAGTATGCACCAATGCACCCTTATCATTTGTAACTGTCAAACATCAATTCATAAATTCATATCTAAACAAGATTAGTTGCTGAAAAAAACTCAGCATTGCCCCACCATCTTCCGCACCAGGCCATATCATCCGTGCCCGGTGTTCGGGCGCCTTTTCCAGGTTGGGCAAACTGTTCGACTTGAAGAGCTTCCTGCAAAAAGCTCATGCCATGGCAGCCATGGTTGAACCATCGATTTTTAACCATGAGAAACATGGGATCCATGCGATGGAATAGGCTTCCCAATTTTCCATGGATTGGTTGGTGAAAATCCAGAAACGGGCTGGATATGGCTGAATACTTTGGCCCTCGAACTCCGAGTATCCAAAGACGCTCACAAGCATTAGATACCCTCCGGTACTCGTGGCATGCTGGAAAATCCACCATTGAGTTCGATGATTTTCCCAGCAAAGCTCCATGGTTAGTTCGGGGACTTCCCACGTTTGATGACACCAGAGGGTTCATTCATTGCATCCACTAACCTGGCTAATTTGAAACAATTCACTCACCTTAAAACATCTGATTTCAGTCGGGCCATTTGGAGATGATTCCCCTTCCAACCATTCTTCCAGTGACGTCACAGATCGTGAGGTCAATTCATTATTCATCCATTCTCGGGCCTCTCGGCGGGAGGTTTCATCATCAGCTCCCCTCCCTCCAAGTTCTGCACAGAGAACTCCGGGATGAACAAAAATTGGGAGTATAGAAATGTGGATTTAACCAGGAGGAATGTTTTTTTTTGAACCAGCAAATACGATCAAATATCAGGAAATTCAAGTTAAGCAACGATATTTGATTGGCTGCTGCTTGTTTTTTTTTTTGCCCCCATTTGTTTTTCGAGTCACCAGGGGATGATCATGAAACATTCTTCAGGACTTTGAAATGATGGGATTTATTGGGATTTCATGGGATTTCATGGGGATAGCATGGGATATGACTGACCAACTTGCTGTGATATGCATGGGTTTCTCTGAAAATGTAGGGGGAAAACATCAGAAAATCTGTGGCCCTATGAAAATGTCCGTTTGTGGAGATTTTACGTGTTCAGACACACCCCAGTAAGAAAAAACGTTCAGCAACAAACAGTGGGTATCATGTCTTCTCTGTGATGGAACGTCCATAAACTGCGTTCCATATCTTTTCTGCCACGAATCTCTCTACAGCGTCTGGCATCATGAAAAAGACGTTGCATCATTCAAAAAACACGGTGCTATAGTGTTGAAATATGTTGAAATCTGAAAGTGACTTGTTGAACGCACCCCTGGGCCCCAACCCAGGCGCCTGTCGGGTACTAGAGGTCCTGTCCTTGCTGGCAAGTTGGCTGCGAATGCCAGACGACTCCCTGAGCAAAGCAGGCCACCACAGCTGGAAAAGCACTAAGTTTACATACGAATTCACAAACCTGAAGAGTTCAGCATTTGGGGATACCTAGCCTTATGAAAACCAAATCAATAGATTTACAACTTCCTTCGAACGCTCCGCTTTCGAAGCATTTAGAAGAGGAGAAGAGGTATCAAAGCTAAGTATGAATGGATGATAGTCGATACCCAATCTAACTCAAGTTTATGGGTACAATATTTTATATATACAATGGTGTATATATATATGTGTATATATAGTATATAATATATACTATATAATATATAATATATAATATAAAATATATAATAGATAATATATAATATGTAATATATCATATATAATATATCATATATAATATATCATATATCATATGTAATATATCATATATAATATATCATATATAATATATCATATATCATATGTAATATATCATATGTAATATAATATAATATATATATATAGATATAGATATATAATATATAATATATAATATATAATATATCATATATCATATATAATATATCATATATACTAATATATAATATATACTAATATATAATATAATATATAATATATAATGTATAATATATAATATATATTATATACGTATATATAACATATAATATACATATAATATATAATATATAATATACAATATATAATATATAATATATAATATATAATATATAATATATAATATATACGTATATATAATATATAATATATAATACATAATATATAATATATAATATAAAATATATCATATATAATATATCATCTATAATATATCATATATAATATATCATATATCATATGTAATATATCATATATAGTATATTATATATAATATATCATATATCATATGTAATATAATAATATATATATATATTATATATATTATAATATATAATATATAATATATTATATATTATATATTATATATAATATATGATATATAATATATGTAGATAATATATATATATATATATTAAATATATATAGTTGATACCTAATAAAAAATGTGTCCAAAATGTCTGACCCGTCCCCACATGGCCAGTTTCACTGAGCGACACAGAGGCATGGTACATATACGAGGAAGGCTTCGACATCTTGGATCGATGCTGCTGCTTGAGCCACACTGCTGGGAGCCAGGGAGCCATCCTTACAGGAAAGGTCGGCGAGTTTCAAGGGAAAGTAAATTGGGAATGGAGTGGCTACTTGGTTTCCTTGGGAAGATCTGATCTATAGGAAACAAATTGGTGTTTTACCAGGTTGCAAATTCTCCCATCGTCAAATGACTTGGCAAAATTGTTGGACCAGCCTAAAGGGGGTTCCTCCATTCGCTTCATCTGCAGATTTTGATGTTCAACTGGGTAAAACCTGGTGCGCCATCATATGATTTCCAGGCTATTTCAAAAAAGGAAAGGGCATATAATTCCTGAAAATTGATCTGGGAATTACCACTATAATGCGATCAAATGCCATTTATCTGCTGGAGAATTACCACTATAGTGTGATCTGAACCTGAACTAGATCGCCAGATCACAACTGGAAATTCTCCAGCAACTAGTCAGATGCCATCGGATTATTGGCACCTTCCAGTTCTGCTCATCCATGTTGCGCTGCTTCTCCATCTTGCGGACCTTGGCATAGATCGCTCCAGCAGGTTCACAGCGAGTCCTTCCAAACTGCTTCCAGGCTATCTACCTCCAGGCCCCTTCCAGGTTCACAGTGAGTCCTATAACCTGGATTTTATCTACCTTCTCTGGGCAATTTCAGTAGCCATGCTACATTTCGCAACTCCCAAGTTACCCTCTGGTAAACTAACAGTTTGCTATGGAAAGATCCACCATTTTTTATGGGAAAATCCACTATAACTGGCCATTTTCAATAGCTATTTTGACATAACCAGAGGGCATTGGAAGCACCTCCCTACCCCCCATGGCCGGCCCCATGGCCCAACAACCGCCATCCCAGGAATTGGCCCGGGAACCGCGTCGCAGTTCTTCTGGATGTCCACCTCATGGCTGGCACTCTTCACCGTGAGGCCGTTCACCTCAGCGACTTTTTGATGGTGGGGATGACATCACCATTGGCATCACCATGGAATGATGGGATGGCGAAATGGCGAAATTCAGACCGGATGGGATGATCTGTTTGATGATTAAAAATAATGGCATGAAAAATAAGACATGGCAAAATGTGGCCAGATCTTGCTGATTTGCACTGGATTTAACCATGTACGGAAAAAAAGCTGGTGGAGTTTCACAGATTACAACGAGAGGGTGTTTACCGGCGATTCGAATCCCACGCATGATGATGATCTGAATCTTTGAACCAATCCGGGACCTCAAAGCTGTGGACTGCGCCCTGCCTCCTCACGAAGTTTCAGGATGTCGCGCTTGTGCTCCCCAAGTCCTGTTGCGACCCCACTGAGTTTTGCAGAAGAGGTCGATTCATTTTTTACCATCATGGTTATTATACAGAATTATAATTATAATGGTTGTAATACTCATCACCTGTGTTCTCGGTCAACTTCATAATGAGCATTCTATCCCAACATCGATGGTTCTGGCAGCTTCAATTCGAAGCTACGCCGTTTTTTTCACCTTGGGCATTGTTTTATGTTTTCCCACGTGCCACACATCGTCACAACCCCTGTGGCTGTGGGTACAAAAATGGATCATCCAACAAAATCCGGTGAAGAATCTGTTTAAACGACGAAAATAACCACAGTTTAGCCATTTTCCTACCATAGGTTTTGTCATAATCCCTACCATAGGTTAAACGGTTTAACCCAGGTAGTATAACGCCCTATAATATCCCATCAACGATGGTATTTTTCGGAATGGTGGGGAAATGTAGGAAATAAATGGAAATAATGGCTGAATATCACCATTATGATTCCCTATAATAACCATAATATGGTCGTATGATTCCCTGTATGATCGCAGCTCTCCTCCCTGCACGCCACTCATGCGCAAGTCCAACGCCCCAAGGCGCCGCGAGGCTTCAGCACCTCGGCGTTCAAGATAACTTCCATCGGAGTAGAACGAAGTCACAACGGTGAATCATGATGTCTTTAGTTTTCCCGGTGAAAATCATGGATATAACGGATATAACACTAAAAAATTGGCCTGAACAAAAGTACATGTTTTTTCGGGTGAAAATTCTGTCACGTTGTCCCAAAACTGGATGAAATCCACCATTTGTTTCCAGCCGCCGAGTCACTTCTTAGCTCGGCCTGCTGCTCCACGGCACCAATCTTTTCAAAGGCCTGCATCAGCGGCGAAGATCAAATCGCCTGAGAAATATGGAGGTTTCCGAAGTCATGCGGGTACCCCAATCAGTTTAGGCTTAGGATTTCCAGCTATAGTTGGATGGTTTGCAATGGAAATTCCTTCTATAAATAGATGATTTGGGGGATCTCCCACTTTAGGAAACCTCCATCTGGCTATGTCTCATAAGGCTGTGTATACCCCAATAAAATGGCTACCTCATGGGGAATATATTGAGAAACCATCAACATTCTGGGGCCATTTTCAGGCATACCATGGCATACCCATATGGTCTAATTAGCTTCGGAGTTCTCCGTCTTGAAATGGTGTGGTTTTTGTTCAGATCAACGAACTGGATGTGCATCGCAAAGATCTGCGGCTTCTGACCTATCACCCAGCAACATAACCCTAGTTTAACTGGGTGATTTCCAAAGGTTAACACAACATGACCCACGAATCCCTATTAGTCCATATTCAACCTATTCACATAAGCCATTCACATAGGTTCGTTCTCCCAACCTTCCGCTCCCCCCCAGCCATTGCACCTCCTGTTGCTTTTGGCGGATGTCATTCTTCAGGCGCGCTTCGGTGTCCGCCACGTTGCGCTCCAAGTCGCTGCGGACCTCGAGAGTTGTGTCGCTCGGTCTGACCGAAACCAAATTTGCAGATGGGTCAATTGATGTGTGGTTTCTGTACGTACGTACGTACGTACGTATGTATGCATGCACCTATGTATATATTTGGTGATGATGATGATGATGATGATGATAGTTTTAGGATATCATGGTAGGCATTCTGAGGATATCATGGTAGGCATTCTTATCAATGGGATATCATAACATCATGATTGGGATTGTTGATAGTACCCTCCAGTCAATCAACATAGATGTTCCGAACCGGAGACCATTGGTGTTCCACATCTATATATTCGTTTAGCCCAGGGTATACAAAATGGATGGCTACATGTGTGTGTACATATATGTATCATTATGTGTATATATATATAAATTGATATATAATAGCATACGGAAATGGGGAAGATCACTAGACCATGACTACCATGACCCGAGAAGACCGAAAGTCACCTCCCACACCCTGGTTCTTTTTTGGGCCCAGACCACAGCCACCTGGCAGAGAAATCTCCACAGGTTTGAGCGTGCGCAAAAAAATCGCTGGATGTCTATATAAATCATGCCAACAGTTAATTGCAAATAGTGAACCCACGCTATCAATCTACATTTACCCAGGGAAGAAGGAAAAAAAAGCGTTGCGGTTATTTTGCCGGCCCACAGCAAGTGGATCCAAGTTGGACTCCGGTCCAGAGGTTTGCCAGTGGGACATCCATGATCAACCAACAGCTGCAGAATTACGGTGGATCGCTGGGGAATTCCCTGGTTTGAGTTGCCTCGCACACGACCAGCGAATTGGTTTGTCCGCATTCAATACGGCATCATCATATTTCACGGTACGGATGTCGCCATCAACTGGGGCATATGTTTTAGCTGTTTTTCCAGATCGTGGCTGTATCACTTACATCATATATCCCATGCCATCATCCGTATATCCTCATAAGATGGTTGGCTCACTCGGTTCAATCCCATTTAATGGCCATAGATATCATGAATTGGGGCTATACCTTTCGGTACTCAAACCTGACACCGGAAATCCCCAAAAAGCCATGGCGAAAAAAACCTCCATGGCGATCCACCGGGTATCAACCATAAAAAGATAAACCGTTCCTATTCGACGAATCTTCCATTCATATTGCATTAATATATTGACATTCTATTATTAGTAATATTCCGTTGATATTCCATTCTATCCCCATTGTGCCACCATTTTGTCGCTTATCCTCTAGTTATTTAACGGAGCGAACTGGAAAATCACAATTTTTAAGAACGGTAAATCAGCATGTTTATCATTTAAATGGACAGTCTCCCATACGGCAAATTGGCAAAGGGTAAATCAATGAGACACCACTGAAAAATCCATTGATATTCCATTGGTATTCCATTCTATACACATTGTAGAACCATGTTAACCATGGTTCAATCCATTCAATCCACCAGACAAAACGACAACCGTTGCACCTCGTTGAAGCAATCGGACAAGGAGTTCTGGGTGGTGTGAAGGCTCTCTTGCGTGGCAGCCAGGTCCTTTTTCGTGGACGTGGATGGTATTTTTGAGCCATACCTTGGGTCCCAGAGTGAAACCAGGTGTACCAGTCATACCAATGCGTCATTTTTCGACAGAAAAATGCCAGAAAGTAGAATAAAGATCAATAAACATAAATAGATCTTAAATCCATGAGCATTAACAAATCTAACAAACTTAACCAACTCCAGTCAAACAGCTGCTCCGCAGCTCCTTGTTGGTGAAGTCAATTCGGCCGTTCAGGGCATTCACTGCCTGCATGGCTCTCACAGTCTCAAAATTCGGGTTCTTAACATCTGTAACTAGGGGATACCACCATTAAAACACAGAGCATATATCCCATCTTCCACCATGTTTCATGGTTAACTATGGTTAACTCACTTAATTAAGTCTCCATTTTTTCATGCATTTCATGTTTCAAATCCCTCAAATCCACAGCAAATCCACAGCAAATCCACAGCAAATCCACGGACCTGGTCGGTGTCGCTGGTGATTTTGGCCTTGGATTCTTCCAGGTTGGTCTCCACCGCCGTGATGTCGTGACCTTGGGCCAAATAAGGAGATGGAAAAAAACACGTGGGGGTTATGGGGATTAAACCGTGGGAAAACATAGGGAAAACATAGGGAAAACATAAGACATAGTGGGTTGATCATTTATAGGGATTAAAATCACTTATATAAACCATAGGAAAACATAGGGATAATGGTTTTTGATGGGATTGTTGAACATCAACTTTCAGCAACCTCGAAAAATGCTGGAGTTTCAAAATTACACCGGCATAGACCCCAGATAGAAAAGGTTGGAACTGATGGTTCCCAACGTGGGAACCAAAGGTTACCATGGCAAGGAACTGCCGGTTCCCAAACCTTGAAACTTACGGTTCCCAACCTGGGAACCAGAGGCTGCCATTGCAAGGAATTGCCGGTTCCCAGAAGTTAGAGTTTATGTTTTCGAAGCTAAGCAACTATCATTGTAAGGAATTGCCGGTTGCGAAAGCTTGAAACTCATGGTTCCAAACCTGAAAAAGCATACGCTACCAGTGGAAGGATCTGTTGATTCCAAAAAGATAGAAATCATGGTTCTTAATGTTGTTTTGTTTTGTTTACTGAGCCGGTAACAGAACCTTTTGTTTTGCTTAATGGACCGGTAGCAGAATGTTTGCGTTCGGCTGTTGGGCCGGCATAAAAATGTTTTTGCACGAAAAAGGTGCATGTTAAAATGATATGAAAAAGGTTTCTTTACAACTTTATGGTTTTGCTTAATGGACCGGTAAAGAACGCTTTGTTTTGCTTAATGGACCGGTACCGGAATGTTTGCGTTTGGTTCATGGCAAGGAACTGCCGGTTCCCAAAGGTCGGAACTCACTGTTGCCAACGTGGGAACCACAGGTTACCATTGCAAGCAACTGCCGGTTACCAGAGGTTGGAACTCATGCTTCCCAACCTGGGAACCATAGGTTGCCATTGCAAAGAACTTCCGTTTCCTAAAGGTTGGAACTGATGCTTCCCAACGTGGGAACCAAAGGTTACCATGGCAAGGAACTGCCGCTGGGAACCGGACCTTGAAACTTACGGTTCCCAACCTGGGAACCAGAGGTTACTATTGCAAGGAATTGCCGGTTCCCAGAAGTTAGAATTTATGTTTTCGAAGCTAAGCGGCTATCATTGTAAGGAACTGCGGGTTCCCAAAGGTTGAAACTCATGGTTCCAAGCCTGAAAAAGTAACGTTACCAGTGGAAGGATCTGTTGATTGCAAAAAGATAGAAATCATGGTTCTTAATGTTGTTTTGTTTTGTTTACTGAGCCGGTAACAGAACCTTTTGTTTTGCTTAATGGACCGGTAGCGGAATGTTTGCGTTTGGCTGTTGGGCCGGCATAAAAATGTTTTTGCACGAAAAAGGTGCATGTCAAAATGATATGAAAACAGTTTCTTTACAATTTTATGGTTTTGCTTAATGGACCGGTACAGAACGCTTTGTTTTGCTTAATGGACCGGTACCGGAATGTTTGCGTTTGGTTCATGGCAAGGAACTGCCGGTTCCCAAAGGTTGGAACTCACGGTTGCCAACGTGGGAACCACAGGTTACCATTGCAAGGAACTGCCGGTTCCCACAGGTTAGAAGTCATGGTTCCCAACCTGGGAACCAGAGGTTACCATTGCAAGCAACTGCCGGTTCCCAGAGGTTAGAACTCATGCTTCCCAACCTGGAAACCATAGGTTACCATTGCAAAGAACTTCCAATTCCTAAAGGTTGGAACTGATGCTTCCCAACATGGGAACCAAAGGTTACCATGGCAAGGAACTGCCGCTGGGAACCGGACCTTGAAACTTACGGTTCCCAACCTGGGAACCAGAGGTTACTATTGCAAGGAATTGCCGGTTCCCAGAAGTTAGAATTTATGTTTTCGAAGCTAAGCGGCTATCATTGTAAGGAACTGCGGGTTCCCAAAGGTTGAAACTCATGGTTCCAAGCCTGAAAAAGTAACGTTACCAGTGGAAGGATCTGTTGATTGCAAAAAGATAGAACTCATGGTTCTTAATGTTGTTTTGTTTTGTTTACTGAGCCGGTAACAGAACCTTTTCTTTTGCTTAATGGACCGGTAGCGGAATGTTTGCGTTTGGCTGTTGGGCCGGAATAAAAATGTTTTTGCACGAAAAAGGTGCATGTCAAAATGATATGAAAACAGTCTGTTTACAATTTTATGGTTTTGCTTCATGGACCGGTACAGAACGCTTTGTTTTGCTTAATAAACCGGTACCGGAATGTTTGCGTTTGGTTCATGGCAAGGAACTGCCGGTTTCCAAAGGTTGGAACTCACGGTTGCCAACGTGGGAACCACAGGTTACCATTGCAAGGAACTGTCGGTTCCCAGAGCTTGGAACTCCTGGTTCCCAACCTGGGAACCATGGGTTGCCATTGCAAGCAACTGCCGGTTACCAGAGGTTGGAACTCATGCTTCCCAACCTGGGAACCACAGGTTGCCATTGCAAAGAACTTCCGTTTCCTAAAGGTTGGAACTGATGGTTCCCAACGTGGGAACCAAAGGTTGCCATGGCAAGGAACTGCCGGTTCCCAAACCTTGAAACTTACGGTTCCCAACCTGGGAACCAGAGGCTACCATTGCAAGGAATTGCCGGTTCCCAGAAGTTAGAGTTTATGTTTTCGAAGCTAAGCAACTATCATTGTAAGGAATTGCCGGTTGCGAAAGCTTGAAACTCATGGTTCCAAACCTGAAAAGCATACGTTACCAGTGGGAGGATCTGTTGATTCCAAAAAGTTAGAACTCATGGTTCTTAATGTTGTTTTGTTTTGTTTACTGAGCCGGTAATAGAACCTTTTGTTTTGCTTAATGGACCGGTAGCGGAATGTTTGCGTTTGGCTGTTGGGCCGGCAAAAAAATGTGTTTGCACGAAAAAGGTGCATATCAAAATGATATGAACACAGTTTCTTTACAATTTTATGGTTTTGCTTAATGGACCGGTAAAGAACGCTTTGTTTTGCTTAATAAACCGGTACCGGAATGTTTGCGTTTGGTTCATGGCAAGGAACTGCCGGTTTCCAAAGGTTGGAACTCACTGTTGCCAACGTGGGAACCACAGGTTACCATTGCAAGGAACTGCCGGTTACCAGAGGTTGGAACGCATGGTTCGCAACCTGGGAACCATGGGTTGCCATTGCAAGCAACTGCCGGTTACCACCTGCAAACCACAGGTTACCATTGCAAAGAACTTCCAGTTCCTAAAGGTTGGAACTGATGCTTCCCAACGTGGGAACCAAAGGTTACCATGGCAAGGAACTGCCGCTGGGAACCGGACCTTGAAACTTACGGTTCCCAACCTGGGAACCAGAGGTTACTATTGCAAGGAATTGCCGGTTCCCAGAAATTAGAGTTTATGTTTTCGAAGCTAAGCAACTATCATTGTAAGGAATTGCCGGTTGCGAAAGCTTGAAACTCATGGTTCCAAACCTGAAAAGCATACGTTACCAGTGGGAGGATCTGTTGATTCCAAAAAGTTAGAACTCATGGTTCTTAATGTTGTTTTGTTTTGTTTACTGGGCCGGTAACAGAACCTTTTGTTTTGCTTAAGTGACCGGTAGCGGAATGTTTGCGTTTGGCTGTTGGGCCGGCAAAAAAATGTGTTTGCACGAAAAAGGTGCATGTCAAAATGATATGAAAACAGTTTCTTTACAATTTTATGGTTTTGCTTAATGGACCGGTACAGAACGCTTTGTTTTGCTTAATAAACCGGTACCGGAATGTTTGCGTTTGGTTCATGGCAAGGAACTGCCGGTTTCCAAAGGTTGGAACTCACGGTTGCCAACGTGGGAACCACTGGTTACCATTGCAAGGAACTGTCGGTTCCCAGAGCTTGGAACTCCTGGTTCCCAACCTGGGAACCATGGGTTACCATTGCAAGCAACTGCCGGTTACCAGAGGTTGGAACTCATGCTTCCCAACCTGGGAACCATAGGTTGCCATTGCAAAGAACTTCCGTTTCCTAAAGGTTGGAACTGATGGTTCCCAACGTGGGAACCAAAGGTTACCATGGCAAGGAACTGCCGGTTCCCAAACCTTGAAACTTACGGTTCCCAACCTGGGAACCAGAGGTTACCATTGCAAGGAATTGCCGGTTCCCAGAAATTAGAATTTTTGTTTTCGAAGCTAAGCAACTATCTTTGTAAGGAATTGCCGGTTGCGAAAGCTTGAAACTCATGGTTCCAAACCTGAAAAAGCATACGTTACCAGTGGAAGGATCTGTTGATTCCAAAAAGTTAGAACTCATGGTTCTTAATGTTGTTTTGTTTTGTTTGCTGATCCGGTAACAGAACCTTTTGTTTTGCTTAATGGACCGGCAGCGGAATCTTTGCGTTTGGCTGTTGGGCCGGCATAAAAATGTTTTTGCACGAAAAAGGTGCATGTCAAAATGATATGAAAACATTTTCTTTACAACTTTATGGTTTTGCTTAATGGACCGGTACAGAACGCTTTGTTTTGCTTAATGGACCGGTACCAGAATGTTTGCGTTTGGTTCATGGCAAGGAACTGCCGGTTCCCAAAGGTTGGAACTCACTGTTGCCAACGTCGGAAACACTGGTTACCATTGCAAGGAACTGCCGGTTCCCAGAGGTTGGAACTCCTGGTTCCCAACCTGGGAACCATGGGTTACCATTGCAAGCAACTGCCGGTTACCAGAGGTTGGAACTCATGCTTCCCAACCTCGGAACCATAGGTTACCATTGCAAAGAACTTCCGTTTCCTAAAGGTTGGAACTGATGGTTCCCAGCGTGGGAACCAAAGCACAGCACGCTGCACAGCACCCTGCACAGCACCTTTCACAGCACCGCAGTCTGGATAGCAGCGTGCGTGCACAGCACCCTTCACAGCACCTTTGCCAGACTTCGCCACCGCAGTCTGGACAGCACCCTGCACAGCACCCTGCACAGCACCCTGCACAGCCCTGCACAGCACCCTGCATAGCACCTTTGCCAAACTTCGCCACCGCAGTTTGGACAGCCCTGCACAACACCCTGCACAGCACCCTGCACAGCACCTTTGCCAGACTTCGCCACCGCAGTCTGGACAGCACCCTGCACAGCACCTTTGCCAGACTTCGCCACCGCAGTCTGGACAGCACCCTGCACAGCACCCTGGGCTCAAAAGTTCGCCACCGAAGACCCCACCGTTGAGAAGTAAGAACCCCTATAGCTTGCCGGCTATCTGGGGAAAAACCGGGATGCAACTCACATCGGGATTTCAGCGTCGAACCATCCGGGAGAATCACCATGCTATAGATCCGGCTGAATTATCATGGTTTATCGCAATTCGCCTGTCTATTATCCATCTATGACACATTCTATGATCTATCATCTATATGATCTATCATCTATATCAATCTGGCTGAATTATAAGGATTCACTAACCTGAAAATAGCTGTTTCTTTATACGGCCATTTGGAGATGATTCCCCTTACCATTCGCGATCATTCAAAGCAACTCCAATGATTCTTTTTAAAATCGTTGAAGTAAAGATATTCAACATTTATACATGTCCATTCTATATATCCCATATGATGCCACCATTCTTTGTTGGTGAACTCCAACATGTTCGATGCTCAAGAATCACCGTTACTATCCCGTTGTTCGAATTCCCAGCTGTCACGACCAAGGTCGAAAAGTAATCGCTTCTTTTTTTGTCATTAGATTCGGATCCTACAAAATTCTATCTTATTTTTTCTGGTTGGCCACAACTCCCCATATTTTATGGTCAAATCTCTCACCATCTCTCACCTAAACATCCTATGAAAAACATTGAAAAACCACCAGATGTTCTGTTCTCCCATTGACTCCCATTCACCAGGTGTTTCATGGTTCAATCCCCCCATCCCTGAACTCTTCCACCGTTCCACCGCGCCACGCACGGTGGCCAGGATCTCATCCACCTTCCGGCGCCGCGCGTCCACGTCCAAACGCAGCGAGGAGACCATGTCGCGCACCTCGGGGGTGGAAAAAGGTGGAAAAATTGAAATGCGGGGCATATGTTTGGGACATTTTGAGGAACATTGTTGGGGGAAAACATCCAAAAAATTGGGGCCCATGGCATCATTGGTTTTCCCGTTTGAAGATAAACCGCATGCGGTACGGACGTGTAGGAAGTGGTGACTCGAGCCAGACGGATTGTACCTAAACATGAACCCAGCCCGGATGTTAAAAAAAAACATCTACAGTAACCATTTTTCTCCAGAGACTTTCGACAATCCCGAATTGTGTTTGGATGGATTTGTTGGGCATTTCTTTGTTTTTTCAACCCATCAATGAAAACTGACCCAACAAATGATGGTGCTGTGATGATCCAAGAGTTTGCCTCCTTGGCCAAGGAACTGTCTTCACCGCAGCGTCCAAGTCGTCGTTGGCCTCCTTCCAGGCTACATTGTCCACCTGCGTCGTTCCAGCCAACTAGGTGGATCTCTAAGGCATGGCTCTTGGCACATGACAAAAGTTACGCCAGTTTTCCAAGAAAGCCTTGGACGCAACGAGAGTTCCAGCCAAGTATTGTCACAGCAAGGCAACTTTGGAAAATCACGTGTGAACCGACACTATGCTAGTTCAATAGTGGCCGCCGGCCTTGGTATCCAACTTGGTGCACATCTCATTCTTCAGGTTGATGATGTCTTCCGTCAGATTCTCTTCCTTCTCTTGCATCTGTTGCAAGGTGTTCGACACGTCCTCCATCCAACTGTCGTGGTTCTTCAAAGCTTCCTGGATGTCACCAATGTCAAGCCTCGCAGGTGGCCGTGGTGATCAGCCACTGGGATGCACCTCCGACCCGCAAATTTTCCGCTGCTCTGGGATTCTGCCACTCTTGGGGAATCGTTCTGCTCACCAAGAATTCTATTTCATGGTCTCATGTTCGAAAAGAATCCTTGGTCTTTCTTTACAGGTCGTTTCTGTTGACAAACCCATGAGAGAACAAAAAGGGTCTGGATAATACTAAAAATGGATGGTGAATACTAAAACTGACCACTTCATCTATGGTCTGGGCCAGAAATTGTTGACCACCCAAGAGAATTAGCCTCTGATTACCACGATTTTGGCTGGGTCACCTTCTTTGTGGCTCAAAATCTCATGTTCTCCCGTTTTTATGGGTTGAATCTCATGATCTTAATCCCCAAACGTCATGACATGGTGAAATCAGCCGCGGAAGTCGCAAGCTCCTCATGGTGGAGATCTCTGCTGTCATGGTGGCTTCCACACGCTGGCGGCTGGTGATGATGCTGTGGGTCGCATCCACTCGGGCGCGCATCCTAGGCGCAGAGGCTCGGGAGTTTACCAAAAAACAGAGATTCAACCAACAAAAAACTAGGCACCTACGACCTAAGACCTAAGGATTCAACTGAGTTCACCAACAGAGACTTTGATGTAGAAAAATTGTTTTCACAAGCAAAAACATGCAAAAACATGCATTTAACGAACGAAAAATAGGATTGAACTCGCAACGGGATTCAATCAACGAAATTTGAACTTAAGTAAAAAAAAAAGGTTGTAACCGAAAGACTGGAATTTCACTAGCAAAGAACCAGAAATATATAAACCGACAAATTATCCCGGCAAGAGACCCCAAACAGTGTGGGAAGGTGGGGGGATAATGTATGAGAATGTATGATAATATTGATATAATGTATGAGAATGTATGATAATATTGATGATGGTTATGGTGATGACGATGATGATCATCATGATGATGATGATGATGTTGAAGATGATGAGGTGCAGGAGGAGGATGAGGTGCAGTTGAGGATGATGAGGTTGAGGATGATGATGTTGAGGATGTTGATGGTGAGGATAATGACGTTGAGGAGAATGAGGATGAGGATGATGAGGATGTTGAGGAGGATGAGGAGGATGAGGATGACGATGAGGATGTTGAGGATGTTGAGGATGTTGAGGAGGATGAGGATGAGGATGAGGATGGTAATGCGGAAGATGAAGTGGAGGAGGATGATGTTGCGGAAGATGAGGTGGAAGATGATGAAGTTGAGGATGATGATGTGAAGGGGGAGGAAAATGATGATGTTCAGAATGATGATGTTGAGGGGGAGGACCGATCCCAAGACCTAGGACCACACTTTGTGCGAGCTTGCAATCGAAATGCACGTCAACATTTCAGAAGGGCTACCTTTTACAGAAATTTAAAGGAAAAATGCCGCGGCCCAGAACCCGGGACCACACTTTGTGCGAGCCTGCGGTCGAAATGCACTTCACCGTTTCACAAGAGCCACTTTATACAGGAAAAATGCGGGGCCCAGAGTGAGCACCCTGATCAGGCACCCGCCTTTACAGCTACCGTAAGAACCCCTCAGTGTGGACACACTGTTCGGGGAAAAACGGAAATCATTCAACAAAAAAATCAACATGGTTTGACAATGCAAATTCCATGCCCGGTGGCAACTAATGGATCTACTTGGGGCTGCAGTCCAAGGTCTAAGTGGTTACAACATAACCATAATACCATAGTTGTAGGGCTTAGATCAGCATATATCAGCTATATCCCAACTTATGGGGCCATGATTAATCCCATGATTCTTCCCAAAAAGAGTGGTACTTTCCATTCATCCAATGCACTCATCAAGGTCCACGTTCACAGCATCCATAGCCGCTGTGAAGTCCTCCATGTCCTCGGTGCTTTTTTCGATTCCTGGGGCGCGATTCGCAACGCTAAGCAACCAGCAAAAAGGATGGAAAATCTGTTTCCAGGATGTTATGAATGATGATTCGATGATGCTTCCTCCATATTTTGCAGCTTTGCAACTGTTCTATCTATTTGAGGGATGCGATTTTTATAATTGTAATTCTTCATCGAAGGATCTTGTTGATCTGGAAATAAATCACCCATGTCATGATGAAAGTCTACTGAATTCGACCAAGGATCTCTCTCGCAGGCAAGGACGATGCGACGAATGTGATTGACCTCACCTGGGAAGACGATGAAAACCAGCACAAGTGTGACGTGGGTCGTGGCCAAAATCATTTTGCATCAAGAAATACATGCCACAATCTGCCACACAACCATGTCGTGCACATAAGGAGATCAAACTTCTCTAGGCCTTGTTTATGTCCCGTCTGTTCCCTGTGCCTTTGTTGTTTCCAAGCAGGTCCTTGAGCTCTCCCACATCATACCTCATCATCACAACGAATTCAGCCATCACTTGAATGAAAGATCGATAGTTTCACCAATCAATATTCCCTCTGCACCACACACCAATGCCTATCGGAAAATATTATATATTGTATATAATTATGTATATATATATATATATATCAACCGAAAAGTCCCCTGCAATTTACACCCGAAAGCAAGTGGTAAACACAACATGCTGTTTCGTAACCTCCTCCCGGCAAACCTAGGACACGAGAACCGTCACGAGAACTCCCATATATCAAACAGTCAATCATCTGAATGAATCAACAAGTGGAATGTTCCTTCAACTGACCCCAGATCCTACCAATCAAAGAGTCAACTAAATCACAAAAGCCAGTCATCCCCATATTGGATAGCATCGTTTACTTCCCCAACAAAATCACCCAAATATCTCCAAAATTATCCATTTTTTTTGCCACTGTTCCATTCTTCCAAGAGATTTCCCACAAAAACCCATGGCCCCACCCCAAATCCTGCGCACTTCAGTTGGTCCAAATCCTCCGCCATGGTGTCCAAGCCGGCAGCGCCGGAGGCGCCATCCAAGCCCTTCGTGGCGGCAGCTCCTGGGATGGAAAAACATGGAAAAACCTGGGTTTTACCAACCAAATTACGGAAAAGTGCCACTTAAAATGCTCCCCAAAAAACCAGCTCAAACCACCCAGCTGCAGCTCAACATCGAAAAAACCGGTCCTCGGTTGACGTGCGACAACTTCTTGTCGAAGTCGGTCTGCAAGTTGCTGAGCTGCGCGGTGATCTGGGACTCGAAGTCTTGCAGACGCGTCGCCACTTTCCTCAGGGACAAAGGCGGGTCGCCCAGCGGCAAAGGGGGTCGACAGGCTCAAAAGCCATTCTCCCAAACTACCTAGGTACCATACAGGAAACACGAAGATTCAACTCGTGATTTGATTGGCTGCTTCTAAAGCACCACAATACTATAGAATACTTTTAAGACCATTAAAATATCACCAAGTGTAGTATATAGGTTCAATCCTAATTAATCCACATTGTTTGCTTTGTTGTTCATAGAACATTGTAGAAATTACAAGAAAAACAGATAACATCATGTTGAGTTCCAATCTTATGTTGGTTTTATCACTACAAAATATTTTACAATAGAAAATATTACAAAACCTTAAAATCTAACTATACAATATTATAAAATACTATCTAAAAACTATATATATATAACATTCTATAGCTATATAACTATGTTTCATACTATAAAAACATTGTAGAATACGATACAATACAATAGGAATACTATGTATAGAATACATTAGAATACCATAATCCCCCATCAGTCAAACAACCAGGAGTCTTCATGACCTGTGCATCGCTGCCAGCTTTCCGTCCCGGAAATGCCCCAGTTTCATCGCCAGGGACCTGACAGGTCCGATCGAGGGGCCCCGACGGTCGATCAAGATCTAGTCACCACAAAAGATGACGCGCGTTGCAATTGTTTACTCTCTGGTAATTTAACATAGCCATGGAAAATCACCATTTTTCATAGGTAAACCATCTTTTAATGGGCCATTTTCCATGGCTATGTCAAATAACCAGAGGGTATATATATATATACATATACATACCTGCATCCGTCCCTCCTGCATTCTTTCAGCCCCTTAGCAAAAGGCACAAAAAAAAACACGGCCCCTCTTCAGCCCCTTAGCTTTTGTATTGGAGGCATGCTGTCTTCACCCTGCATTTTTCCCAATAGCGCTTCCCCCAAAGTGGACATGCTAGACCATGGTGCCAGATCACAACACACATTCACAGCTTGAACTTGGTTGGAAAGTTTTATCTATTGTAAATCCTATGTTTGGCAAACAGTCCCTGTTAAATCAACCCAAAGCTCAGTGCTTTGAAACCGGTCATTGCCGCCTTAGCTTCTTAAACCTACGGACTAGAAGTCTCACTTTGATTCTATCGACCAAAAGTGTGTTGCTTACAATGTTGCCATAGCCAATCCTTCTGAATTGGCGACTTACACGCCCAAGATGTGTCCCACACAGCTGGATTCAATGAGTAAACATCTTGCCAGGTCTGCTCCAGCTCAAATAAAATACATAACCCAAGGCATGTGCTTTCGGCACTAGACCACAAAAGGTAAACTGTCAACCGAATGCTAAAGCAGCTAAACAGCTGCACGTGCGACAAAACCCTTTGGACACCTAATAAATTTGTCCCCCGCACCCCAAAAAGGAAGGGGGCGTTTTTCAAGCGCCCGTTCAAGCATGGTAACCATTGACATGAAAGACCTCCTAAAGGATGCCCGGGCAATTCTGCCCCTTAGACGGGTATTTCCGCCCCTTGGATTTTTGATTTTTGCATAAACATGCGATCAAACTCACATGGGTGCCCACGTGAAGGAATTCATATGAAGTGGTTCACATTCGGGGTATCCCAAGAAAAGAAAATCATATGAATTTGTTCACGTGTAGGGTGTCCCAAGTAAAGAAATTCATATGAACTTTGTTTATTGTGGGGGGTCCCAGGTAAAGAAATTCATATGAATTTGTTCACCTATGGGGTGTCCCAGGTATAGAAATTCATATGAAATGAAGTGGTTCACTCTTGTTGTTTGGCAACCTGGCCCATATTTCCTCTGGAAAGTAACACTTCAACAATCAATGGCATGCAGTTCTGATCAAGAACGGATTCCAGCCCCTGGACATGTCTTTTGCCCCTCTTGGGGCAAGGGCGTTTTTCTCATTAGGGTCTGAAGTTTTGGACACCTAAATATTTGTTATACAGTATAGTATTGCATTATATGATATCATGTCATATCATATCATATTATATTATATCATATTAAATTATAATATATATATATATCATATCATATTATGTTATATTATATATATTATATATCATCTGTCTTCAGTGCTTCGCACCTCCCCGGCCGCACCTCCAGGGCTGCCACACGCGCCTCCAGCGCCTTGAGCTGTTCCTGGAGAGATGGCCCCCATCCATCCCCAGAAAACCATAGGAAAACCATAGGAAAACCATAGGAAAACCATAGGAAAACCATAGGAAAACCATAGGAAAACCATAGGAAAACCCATAGGAAAATGGTGGTTAGTAGTGGTTAATAGTGGTTAATGATGGTTAATCATTGATTAAAAACTAGGCTGGTTGGTGGTTTAGGTCGACCCCTCTGAAAAATGATGGAGTTCGTCAGTTGGGATGATGACATTCCAAATACCCTCTGGTAAACTAACATAGCTATGGAAAATCACCATTTTTAATGGGAAAAACCACTATAAATTGTAATTTTCAATAGCTATGTTAGTTTACCAGAGGGTATATGGAAAGTCATAAAAAATGCTCCAAACCACCAATCAGCTTGGGAATTCACCATGGAGAGAATGGTGATTTAAGCTGGATTTCACATCGGGATTTAGCCAGCTATTTCTTGGGATTTTAACGTGATTCAACGGACCACGTGGAATGATGGGAGAATTATAATGATGGTGGATATATGATACAACTCAAAAAAAAAACGAAGCTATCCCAAGTGAGGACCCCGGTGTCATCCCGGGTGTCATCCCGGTGTCATGGTTTTAGTGGATTAAACCTAGTTTGGGCTCGAATTCCTTCCAGGGGTCATTCTGAGACGGCAAATCGTTCGAGGATTGTGTGAAGCCATGGAGTTGATCCCAGTTCTTAAGTATCCAGTGGGTACTCGAGCTACAGTTCTGGTTCACATAGACCAATGTATGGATGATCATTTGTTTGGAACCGAAATCCCTTTTGGAACTCCAATTGCCTACCCAAATGAGGGCGTGATTGAGGAAGGCACAATGACACTGTACAATGTGCGAAGGACCGGAATGAAGCTTCATGATGCTTGGGTCCTGTCTCCTGTTCCTGGCTTTCAACCCCTTAAGCATAGATCACCTGTTCCCGCCGATCTAGGTTTTGTCCATGATACCTGCTGTGGCTTGGGCGGTTTTGCCACCGGTTTGGATTTCTTGCACAATGCCTGTGGTGTTCCGGGTCAGGTTGTCACTGCTGTTGACCTTTGTCCCTTGGCCATGTCCGCCTATTGTCGTAATCACAATGCCTTTCCGATCTCTGGTGATGTCTGTTCACAAGACACGATATTCCAGATGCATGCTCAGCAGATCAAGGTGGGAGCACAACCACTGCTGGTCGGTGGCTTTCCATGCCAACCACTGTCGCGACAGGGTGCTCAAAAAAGGCAGCTGGACGAACGAAGTCAGGTCCTAAAGGCTTTGCTGAGAGCGGCCTTTTGGCTCCAAGCTTCCGGAGTATGTTTGGAATGCGTCCCAGAAGCGATTACCGATGTAGGCACACAAGAAGCTTTGGCCGAATTTGCCCAATTGATGAATTTTTCCATAAAGGTGCTACACCTCCAGCATGTCTGGCCTGCACGTCGCTCAAGATGGTTCGCAGTTCTGGTTCCGAACCTGCCTGGTTTCCAGTTCCCTCCGATGCCATGCCTGAGTCCAGCCCCGACCGTAGGAGACCTGATTCCTTTCAATTTGTGGCCAGTTTGGAATGATTGTGATGAACAACAATTGAAATGGACTGACCTTGAAAGCCAAGTGTACAAGAACCCCATTTATGGAAACCCTGATCGCCGTGTGGACTTGTCACAACCTCTGCCAACTGCCTTGCATTCCTGGGGATCTGCCCTGTACAAATGCCCGTGCGGATGCCGCCAACAGGGGTTTAGTCCAGGTGTTTTGAGAGCCAAGGGTCTGCGTGGGATCGAGATTTTGTCAGGTTTATGGCCACATTTATCCAGACATATCCATCCTAGGGAGCTGCAGTTTCTTCTTGGATTTCCACCACTGCAGGAGATTTTGTCGGATTGCCGAGCACAACTGTGTCTTTATGGGAATTCCGTGTCCCCTGTTCAGGTGATTTGGGTTTTGTCAACTTTGTATCAAGGTCGGAACTTGTTGCAAGACAAGACTCCAAGCACATGTCTTTGTGAATACTTGCGAGCAATTGTCGTGCATAGGGACATCACATGGCCCAGTCCCTACCCAGGTACAGGCATTGCAACTTTGGACTTTCAGGAAGGTAGTGTGCCAATTACTTTTCATACCAAGCAAACGGTAGGAGATTTGATCAAGGCCGAGTCAACCCTGAATTTTGATGCCAAAAAGCTTCGACTTTCATGTCAAGGTTTGGAACTCCCATCATGGGCTTTCATGCAGGAACGTAGGTACCAAGTGGACTTGACGGACTCCGAGGTGGATTTTTCAGTGTCCCCCGTTCCAGTGTGCTTGGAACACTTGGGAGTCTGCAGGCTGTATGTCGTTCCTGCCAGCTTCAATGTTGGAATGCTCTTGAATTGGGTAGGTATCCAGGGTTGCAAAGCGGTAGTCGACAACCAGCAGAAACCAAAGCATCTCCAAAGTTTTTTCTCCCCTTGGAGTGTACTCACTGTGCAGTCTGATCCGGACGATGTGGATTTTGAACTTTCTTTGAAGCTGGAAGGTTTCGGATCCGAGCTTTCATTGAGCGCGTTGGGTTTTTGCTGCACGGAATCTTGGGGTGGAACCGGTTTGTGGCACGTCGACCAAATGGTCAAGTCCAACCTTCTTGTTTCATGGGCAGGTGCTGGTTTCCATCCATTGACAGTCTGGCTTCCTTCGTTTGCTGCTGCGGTTGTTGAACTTTGGCCGAGTGCAGTGGAAGATTCTTTGCGAGCATGGTTATTGAATCCTACCACTTGTTTGTTCGCGATTGTCTTGGAATCCTGGGGGTGGAATCTTTTGAAGATCACTACAACGACCCATGAATCCGTTGTGACTTTCTTTGAACCGGAGTGCCAAGTATCCGTGTCTGCAGCACATTTGGCTTTTCGTGCGCATGCAGCTGGCGGCAGACAGATCCAAACCGATCAACATGTGGTGCCAGGGACTGAGTTTGGTTTTCCAGGTACTCTTGAGAGAATTTTTGCACTATTGGACTTTGAATTGGATTTGCCTTGCTATGTTGCGGCCATCCTGCGACAGCACAGACACAGTGCAATTTTGGACTTTCCCGAAGATCCCAAAAGCACTTGTTCACCTACTCTAGAGTACGAAGCTAATCAGGAACAACTGCCGAAACCTTTGACGCCTCAGACCCCCACAGAAACTGGCATTGGACTTACTGCCAAGTTTTTACTGGATTTTTCCAACGCTTGGATTGTCAACCGCCCTTTGGACTTTCGGGCCGACCAGATTAAGGTGGTATGTGTGGGTTCAGAGCAGGATTTGAAGGTTTTCTGTCACACTCGACCACTCCATGTGACATGTGCCCCTATGTTCATGTTTGTGTTGATTGAGCGCCATTGGACTTTTCTCAGTTGTTCCCTCCAACAAGACAGGCTGGAATTGACTCTGTACGATGGTCTTGCACACACCAGCATACATCAACTCACTCCGGTGATCGACAGTTTGAAAACGGCCTGGAATGTCGTCCGTGTCTCAGTGCAAACCACATGGAGCATACCACAGACCAGGCAGGATTCATGTGGCACCATTGCATTGGCTCACTTTGGACTTTCACTTGGACTTTTGACTCTTGATCAGGCCAATCAGTTTGAGTCTTTGCACGACAGTCTTGCGATCTGTGGGAGCATCGGCAGTGTTCACAGCCCGAGCGGATGGGGAGCCGAAGAAAATGCAGTGATCAAATCTCTCGAGCAGATCCTTCCAGCGCATGGCGTACCACCGGCTGAGGTGAAGAACAGAGCATTGGCAGCCATCAAGATTTTTGGCATTCCTGCAATCACCAGAGCTCTGGGAGCCAAGAACACCTGGATGTCTTTGAAGCAGTTAGGCAATTCCAGACCTAAGCCTTTCATGTGGGTGACACACGATGAACTTCAGAACCACATCCGCGATCGCTCCCACCATCAGTTTGGAATTGAATCTGACAGCAAAAAGGGCAAGCGAAGCAAGGAGTCCAAAAAACTTGCTCAACCAACCCAACTAGATCCAGGCAGCCTGATGCTTCCGGCAGGTGTTTTCGCTACCAATGACGGTACCCCTCTTGCCCAAATTGGACTTGCAGAAGTGCAGAAGAACGCACGAGGAATTGCTTTTGGCACCTACCAAGATGCCCAACCTTTTTTGGCAGAAGGAAAATCCATCTCTGCAGAAGGCCTATCCATCCTGATTGTCGGAACAATTCCTGATGCTGCACCCCAGGGTCTGCCATCTCATGCACTGCGTGTTCCAGCCATTTACCGAGGTACTAATGAACCCATCATTCTCGATGTCATTTCGGTGCAGTTAGGAGACCAAGCAGTGTACCGTAAGATTTGCCAAGAGGCGCCTGAGCTTGCAGTTTTCCCCACAGTGGTTTTTCGCCTTCATGTTTTCAAAGACCTTTGGACTTTATCGCATGATTGGGCTGAGCTAGCTGCACATCCAGTCCGATCCTTGGTGCAATCTTTTCCTGTGTTGAAGCTGTGCCGTGTTCCTGACTGTGACTCTACGTGCGGTGCCTATCATCCATCGATTGAAGAGACAGGAGTTGAATCAGGACTCATCGATGTTTGGGCTTTTCGATGGATGAAAACAGATGGGTCTAAAGCCACTCCAGTCACTGCAGATGTTCTGTCGGTTTATTTCCGTGTGCCAGAGTCCTCTTTTGCGTGCCTTCACAGTGCTTCAGGGACAGACGGGGTTTTCTTCGAGCCACGATGCCAAGACTCTCCTGGTGCAGACCCAGCGTTTTCAGTTGTGTGGATTCCACAAGCTACCATGCAGGACATCATGCACAAGGTCAAAACACATGACCTCTGCCTTGCAGCATGCCGCATAGGAACCAAGTATGGAGTCCGATGCCAAACTAAACATCACGAAGAAGTGCATAATGACTTGCGGCCACAAGTCCCTTTTGTCCATTGTGCAATTAAGGAGGTGTATAGACTTGAGCCATTGCCAGTAGGAACTCAGCGTCAGTCATTGTCGGACACCCTGCAGTCCGTCAATTGGAAGGCCAAGCCCCTGCAGCCATGCAAAGGCCCCCAAGGCAAAGCATGGACGGTCGGGGCAGAAACCCCTCCGCCCAGCCAGTTCATCCAAGCCAAACATGGATGGATTAGCATTGCAAAGGTTAAGGATCAGGTGCAATCAAATCCAGCCCAACATCTGATTGCCACTGCCAAGACAAAGCAGCACATTGGCTCTGTTCGCCCTGCTCCATCCACAGCACAGCCAGTCGACCCTTGGACTTCCGGTCGTGACCCTTGGGGAGGTTACCAAGCCGTCTCCGTTAAAGCACCAGCACCACCATCGCAGCATGTCCAGCAAAAATTTGAGGATGTGGAACAGCGTTTGCAGGACCACATCAAGACCACCATTGCTCAGGGACTGCAAGACAATGACACAAGCTGTCGAGTCCAACATGTGGAGCAGCAAATCCAGTCCATCATCGAACACCAGACCAGACTTGAGCACTGGGTGTCAGAAGGGGGTAGTAAGGTCACGGTTTTGCAGCAAGATTGCCACCAACTGCAGCAGGCAGTAGAGCAATGCCACAATCGCATCGGCGAGCAAGGGAGTGTCATCACACAAGTTGCCCATGACGTTTCAGCTTGCACACAGGCACTTACAGTCCAAGGACAGGCAATCACCAAGGTTTCATCCGATGTAACCTCGCTTCAGGATGGCCTGTCAAAGACTTTGGAATCTTATTTTGCCAAGCAGACTGAACAGATCGAGTCACTCATGGCCAAGAAAGCCCGCACGGCTTGACTACGTCGGCAGGGGCCTTTCGCTGGACTTCGAAAGGTGCCCAATTCATGTTCAATGTCCTTTGGATTTCTCTCTCGCTTTTGGACTTTCTGTATCTTTTTTCTTGCGTTTTGCCGTGTAGGGGAGGCCACCGTTCCTGGGCCAACTTCCTTCGAAGAGCCATCCTGGACTTTGCCTGGAAAACCTGCATTCGTCATTGGTACCGGAAATCCTTCCGGCATCAATAACAAGCTGCACACCTTGGAGAGTTTCCCTTTGGGTTGGTTCCATTTGTCGGAGACACATGCTTCACGTTCCCAACAAAGCATGGTGCAAAGTCATCTTCGTGCGGTTTCAGCACGTCAGAATCGCAACATCCGATGTTGTGTGGGCGCCCCAGCTCCATTACGACCAGGATCACAACATGCAGGGTCGTGGACGGGAGTCCTCAACTTTGGAGATTGCCATCTTCGCCAGGTGCCATCCTTTTGGCCTGCCGGAGAGTACCATAGTGGCAGGGTAATGCTCACAGTGGCTCATATTGGCAATTTGCAGATCACATCTGCTACAGTGTACTGCCCAGCCAAAGGTCCATCTTTTGCACAGGCCACCGAATTGGCAGAATCTTTGTTAGAGCCAGTCACAGAGGCTTTAGTTTTCGGGCGTGCTGGGGCCAGGATCATCTGTGGCGACTTCAATGCCCCTGCAGGCAGTCTGCGTCAGATGCAGCTTTGGAAAGCACAAGGATGGGTGAAACTTCAGGACTTGATGCATGGTCTTCACTCCATCACTCCAAGGCCAACTTGTAAAGGAGCCACAGCGCCTGACCAAATATGGTGTTCCCCCGAAATCATTCCATGGATTTCCAATGTAGGGCTGTGGCAACTGTACCCTGACCATGATGTTTTGCTTGCGGGCCTGCGTTTGCCATCTTTGCCTCGGGTTTCCATGCAATGGCATCTGCCTGGTCATATCCCTTGGAATCATGTTTCTATGGAACAATGGACTTCGAATCAAACTGCTGGCTCTGTGTTCCCTGTCAGTGTGTGGCCTGCGGGCGGCCTACATCTGTCTGAGCCTTCTGATTCTGTTGACTTGCGTTCCTTGGACTCCACCAGTGCCTTTCAGGCATGGAGTAGTCGTTTTGAAATGGCCACATCAGTTTGCATGATCCATCCAACAGCACAAGCTGATCACAGTTTTTATGGCCGAGGTAGGATGACACGCCCAAAAATGAGAAAGTGCAATCATGCTGTTCCGAAGCATAGTCGGCCAGGTGAAACCCAGCAGGTGTGTGGATTTTTGAACCGTGCGGTTGGTCGGTGGTTCAAACAGCTGAGAAGGATGCAATCTTACATGCATGCTGTGAAGTCGGCCAATGTTGAATCAAATTTCAGGTCACGTGCAGCCCTTTGGAATAGCATTCTTCATGCGGCGGGTTTTGAGAAAGGTTTCGAGTCATGGTGGTCATCAAGACCGGTGCAACTGCAGGGGACCCCTGGGGCCATTCCCAAGTACCCACCAGATGTGGTCATCGCAGGGCTTTTGTATGATGACTTTCATCACAATTACAGACGTTTTGAAAGTTGGCAACTGCAAAAGCGCCGCTTGAGCTGCCAATCGAAAATGATGGCATCAACCAAAGGCCTGTTCGCTGTGGTTCGAAAACCAGCCAAAGACACTTTGGATTGCCTGGAAGACAAGTTTTCTCAAGCCATTTCTTTGGTCGACCCACAGGCAGGCATTGTACAAGTGCCAGAGCCCTTTCCCGATGAAAATGTGACGTACTGGACTTTGCAAGATCAGCCTGTTGTGGTTCGGCCTCATCCAGATGGGTATCATGTGGAATCTGATTACCTTTTGGCTGAAAATCAGATACTTACATGCCATGTTGCAGTCCACGACACTGCTACCATCCATAATCGGCTGATTGATTTGTGGTCCCCTAGATGGAATAAACATAGGGAGGTACCAACCAGCCATTGGCAGCAAATTGTGGACTTTGCACGCGAGCACATGCAGTTTGAAGCCTTTGATTTGCCGCCTATCACTACCCAAGACTTCCGGCGTGCCATCAGTGCTTTCAAAACCAATGCTGCTACAGGCCCTTGTGGATGGGCTTTGCAAGATTTGCGGCACATGAATGATGGACAGGTAGCTGCGGTTGTCGACTTCTATGCAGCCATTGAATCAGGGGCACCATGGCCAGCTCAGTGGTGCATTGGTCTTATCCACTGCCTGCAAAAGCGTGTCACCAGCAGCACAGTTGATGGATTTCGACCCATAACAGTGACTAGTCTGTTCTACCGTGTTTTTGCGGGCATTAGGTCGGGCCAGATCCTTGCACAACTTTCCACTCGTGCGGCCAAGTTCCAGTGTGGTTTTGTCAAAGGCCGTCAATCTGCAGATGTGTGGTACTTTGTCGGTGTCTGTCTTGAACTTGCTTTGCAGCAATCCACACCTTTGTTTGGCGCCGTGGCTGACATTGTGAAAGCATACAACGCACTTCCCAGGTGCCCTGCTTTTGAATTTTTGCGTCTTTTAGGTGTGCCACCATGGTTTCTTGGAGTTTGGTCGGATCATCTCAGTCACTTTACTCGGTATTTCGTTGTCAATGGTGAAACCAGCCCGGCTGTTCAAGCATGTACTGGATTTCCGGAAGGATGCCCTCTCTCATGTGCGGCCATGACAGCTGTCGACACAGCATGGCACTGGTGGCAGCAGATTGCTTCACCTCATCCACTTAGCCTGAGCTATGTTGGCAATCTGGAGTTTCTTGGTGTCTCAGCTAGCATCATCCACGATGCAGTGCAAACCCTTCTTTTCTTTTGTTCACACTTGGACTTGGATTTGGGCTTGTCAGCTCTGTATGCTTGGTCTTCCAGTGCGTCAGGTCGAAGGGAACTTAAAAATATGGGGTATAATGTTAGTTTGGGAGCCAGGGATCTTGGAGGTCAGGTCACATACTGCCGGCAGTTGCGCAATCGAGTCCTCACTGACAGAATCGCTAGCATCAAGCCATTTTTTGGGAAGTTACGTAATGCAAAGCTTCCAGTTCAGGCGAAGCTTCTCAATCTGCGACAGGTGCTGTGGCCAAGAGCACTTCATGGATGTGAGGCAGTGATTGTTGGGATCAACCATGTCAATTCGATGCGTTCTGGGGCCATGCAAGCTGTCAACTGGAACAGAGGAGGGGCCTCACCATGGGTGCGGTTTGGGCTTCTCCACACCAGTTCTGACCCTGCATGGTTCCAACTCTGGAGAGTGGTGCAGACCTTTCGTAGACAATACAAGGGTAACCCGGTGATAGCTGACTTTTGGAAAATTTTCTGTGAGACTCAGCACAGTGTCTCATATGGACCTTTTGGCAAACTGTTGGACACCTTGCAACAAGTAGGATTGCACATAGATGAATCTGCTTGCATTTGGTTTTCTCAGCGAGGTAAACTGGATTTGACGACATGCTCTGACGAGCAGTTGGAGCAAATTCTTTCTTTTTGCTTTCGCCGAGCCGTGACCAGACAGGTACAACAGCGAGAAGGCTTCAAAGACTTAACTGGCTTTGATTATGCACTGACTACAGGCTGCGACAAGCACTATCAGCCAGCACAAGTTGAACAACTGAATGTTGTCCGTGATGGCAGCTTTTTCACAAATCAGTATTGTGGAAAATATGACGCAGGCAAGTCCACCCTTTGCAGAAGTTGCGGAGTTCTGGACAGCCGTGAACATAGATACACAGTGTGCAGCCGTTATGACTCAATTCGAGCACAACACCAAGAACTCTTTGCAATTTGGCCAGATCTCCCAGTATGCGCTCAACTGCATGGATTGGTACCAGCCAACCCCTGGCAAGAACTACTTTGGGAAGCTTTTCAGGCCTTACCAGATTTGGCTCATACATATGAGCAGCAGCCTTTTGGACGCACATGGCATCTGTTTACTGACGGCACATGTGCCTCCCCGACAGACCGAGACTCTGCCCTGGCGGCATGGTCAGTCGTGTGGGCTGAGCACGGTACCATTTCTTGTGGATACTTGCCAGGAATCCAACAAACCATATCCCGAGCAGAGACCACTGCGGTTTTGAGTGCTTTGGGATGGGTGCAGCAACGAGAAGGTGTTTTGCACATTTGGGTCGATTCGCAATCAGTGCTTGATTGTTTTCGAGACCTCCTTCGCGGAACTGGAGAAGTGTCGAACTACGAACATTCAGACCTTTGGAGGAAGATTGAGACTTTGCTGAAAGTCACGAGAGCAGAAATCATCCCACACAAAGTTGTTAGCCATCTGCCTCTTGAAGAATGCACCGGCCCTTTGGAGGAATGGACAAGACAATGGAATGCAGCAGCCGACACACAGGCTGACCTTGCCAACATGATCAGACCACAGTTTTTCACTCGTGTCTGGAGCAGGTTTCAGAAGTATCGGAAAGACTGGAAGCGACGCATTGAGCTTCTAACTAGCTTTCATGCTGCTGTGGCAGCTTACGATTGTACAGGCGAGACAACTGAGTCTTATGAAGACGATCAAGGATTCGAGGTTTCACATTTTGATTTTGTCACAGTCCAGAATACTGCTGAAGTTTCTGTATATCTATCCACCTGGCAGGAGACTGGCTGTTTTCAGTGTAGGTTAGGGTCAGTTGCAGATGGGATTTTGGCACAGCTCTGTCACTGGCTTATTTCTGTAGATGGGAGTGCTTCCGAGATGAGACAGGTTAGTTTGTTGGAGATCTTCATTGCCTTTCGTGTTTTCCGTGGGGGTTCTCCCCTCTGTGTTGAGGCTGGTGAGGTTGACAGATATAGTGTGATTACTTTCGCTCGGGATTTTTCTTATTTTAAGAGGTTGTTTCAGTGCTTCGAGGATTGCACTCACATCAGTTGGACTTTTGGACAAACCGATCTAACACAGGTCAAGGTCTACCCGTTCCAACGGGCTATCTGGATTGGATGGCCAAAAGACCTTGAGCAGTCCACTTTGAGGACTCTCCAGGAGTTTGTGGGCAACAGGCCCATTACAAATTGTCAGGGCTTTTCCCGCCCCTGGCGAATTTAGATTAGAGACTGATTGGACATGCTGGCTGCGCGAGCTGCCTGCATGCTTGCCTCAATCCGTGCGCAATAGTGGATTAAACCTGATCTGATGGTGAGATCGGGGAAGTTCCTTTGCGAAACATCATGTTCTGGGAATGTAGATTGTTTCTTCCTTTCTGGCTAATATCACCCACGTATATGCATGTGAGCTGCGCAAAAATCATGTGATATCCACGTTTGTGTGGGTTGAATCCATGCTGATAATTAGTAGGGACTCCAACGATAATAATGGAGGTTCGTAACAAACGGGAAATCAAGCAGTCAAAACGAGTCATACAACAAAAATAGACCTTCAACAGCTGGTGTTTTTCATCCAACAATCATGCTGAATCCAATGCGCGAGCATGATGTAGCCCAGCTGGGGAAAAGGACTGAGCTGAATTCATGGGCTGTCTGCGATTTATTTATTTTAAAAAAAGTGGAGACAGCCTCCAGTGTGTTAAATCCACTGGACTGTCTGGAAAGAAAAAAACCAGTGGATTCTCATCATTTCAGTGGGTCGTCTACCTCCAATGTCCTCCAGTGCGCCCATGGCGTCTCTTCCACGGTCAGGCACCAGTCAGGCTTGAGCCACATCCGTCATGGTAAAGGCTCACTAGTGAATCTCTAGATATTCGAATTCTTCACCAGTGAATCTGGTTCTCAAGGTTCGTTTCACCAAATGCTCAGCCACAAATTTAATCTCCGGCCTTCGAAAATATTCTCCCACAGCCAAAAAAAGAAATCCACGCCGTTCACTTCCCCTTTCAATCCCTTTCATCTAGCTTTACTACGCCGGTGCAATGTTGAATTTCCCATGGTATATCAGTATATCATAGTACAAAACCCCGAAAAATTGAAAACATCGAAAAACCTGGAAAGTCTGTGGAAGACCTCCAACAGCGGGGGCAGTCGCTGAGGCCAGATCAATGAACACGACATCTCCAGCTCCAGGCCGGTAAACCTCAGCGGAATCCAGGGATCATCGTCCCGAAAATACCAAGGCATCTCTTTTTGATACGAAACCAACCCCAAATTGACACACTTAAAACCTATTGTGACTATTCTCTCCTCAGGAAAAAATAGTTTGGATTGATTTGAAAAGGAAAAATGCCCAGAGGTCTGCGAAGTGGTTTTAAACCATTCACCTCTTTTCCCTTCGTATTTTTTCCGGCACCGACATTTGCAAAACTCATTGAAAATGGGCGAGCAAGGGCAATCTTTCTGGCCTGATCAGATCTCTCAGCACCGGGCAATGGGCTCAATCTCTTTCAACATCTCCTGGTTGACAAATGGCACTCACTGACAGTCTTGAAAACAATTGAAAACAAATCTGCATGACATCAACATACATCAACCTTCCAAAGCTGAGCGCTTGGTTAGCTTCGCTTGGTTCGCATCACCGCATCTGGAGAATCCACCCACTGATCCGGCAGTGTGTCAAAACCTTGTACCCCTGGTGAACATCAAAATAGCTGGTAAATGGATGTTCATTCCCCTAAAAATGGTATTAATAGGTATTGATCCATACCCATCCAACATCCATCAACATCCTGCGTATAGAAGTCGTGGTCTGGGTAGAAGTTCTGCAGGTCGATGGTCTCAAAGAAGTGGGAATTCCTGGAAGGCCGACACACATTCTTGGGTCCACGAAACGGAAAACGATGTGGTGTTTGTTTAAGATGTGAACGCATTAAAATGCAGCAAAAGCTGGGACCAGAGTTTGATGCCGAAAAGCTATACCCTCCAGGGTATTTTAGTTTTCAGAAACGCCCAAAATTGGGTATTCAGCTGAGCTGCAAGTAGCGCTGCAGCGAATCCTTTCGGATGGGATACAGCACGAGCTCCCCTCCCAGCATCTCCGGCACATTCAAATACCTTGGGCGATCGGCACAGGAGCTCCTCAGAAGGCCTGATGACGCTTAAAAAAACCGCAGTCCAGCTATATCTGGGAAAAAAATGCGTCATTGAAATTGCATTAAATTCATCTTAAAGCAAATTGGAGGGGGCAGTTACTAAGCCATTAACAACTTGCCAGGGTCCCTTCTTGTCAGATCTTGTTGATCGATTCCATGATTTAACGCTCATCGGTTACGCTTACTGACATCCACCAAGAGTCCTAGCAGGCGCTAGGTTTCAGAGCCCACAATAAAACAATGGATATCCTCTGGTAAACTAACATAACTATGGAAAATCACCATTTTCAATCGGAAAATCCACTATAAATCACCATTTTCAATAGAAAAATGTTAAATTACCAGAGGGTATCCATTGTTAAAATCAGCCATGGATATCATAATTCATTCTGAGATGGATTCATTCAAAGGATCCAAAAGCCATCCGTGGCAGCCATCGAGGGACAGATTCATCGACAAGGTGGTCCCCGGTACCAGGCTGTCCATGTGCACGTTCCCCTCTCTGCGGCGTCCACCTCCCGAGCCATGGATCATCTCACTGGTTTCACCAATAAATCACCAGTGAGATTTTGGATCTTCGAAGCTGGCGACCAGTGTAGGCTCAAAAAAAAAGCACCGGTATCTTTCTTCCAAGAATTGGAAAAATAAACTCAAACTTGACGAACCTTCCGGTAATCAAACATGAGAATGAAAATCCTTCATTTGTAAGTAATGTTCCAACAAAGATCAACCAAAATCTTGCAGCCACCAAGCAGTTGTCTTGAAATATCATGAAAATATCCCTAAGGTTTCCTGTCGGTCATTGATGGCAACCAGTTCCATCTTCACATCTATAAACCTCGATAAACATCGATAACCATATCATAAATCTATAGACATCAATAAGTTTGACGGATTAAGATGTTTATAAACATGATATATAAACATGTGGGAGCATCTGTTGGATATCCACATAGGATATCCCCAGCCTGGCTCCATCCTCCGCACCACACAGGGCAGAAAGGGACGCCGGGAGCGCGGGCAACGCTCCAGGTGCAGCTGGATCCCAAGCGGCGTCAACTCATTCTGCAGGAGATCCAAGATGAAGCGGCCTCTCGCACCAAGGAAAACATACGCTGGAACTTGTTGCACCCTGTCAAGGCAATGAATATGTGTATTCATATTATTTATTTATTGATTGATTTATTTATTGATTGATTTATTTATTTATAAATAAATATAGTTATATGATTATGTGTGTGTATGTATGTGTATGTATGTATATGTATGTATATGTATGTATATGTATGTATATGTATGTATATGTATGTATATGTATGTATATGTTGTATATGTATGTATGCATTATGTTTGCATGATGCACAAGTGGAAGATATGGAATGGTTCATATGAGAAAATACAGAATTCAATATGTGATATGATATAATATCATATAATCTAGTGTAATGTCATCTAATGTTTGTTTCCAATGATAATCAAGTAAAGTATCTAGAAGTAGTTGAGACGATACGAATACCTTGCTGCAACACCTGCCATATGATGCAAGGTCATGGTTTCTTAGGGTCCCTCCCAGGTCGGGTCGACCAGGTCCTGCAAAAACTTTGTGCAGGTACTCCGAGGTCTTTTTCGCATGTTCCAAGTATCTCTCAGGCGCTGGGCTGGTGGCAGTCATGCGAAAGCCTGGAGAGGTGAACTCTCCACTTTTGGTGGTGAAATTTCGCATTTTGACGGGTTTTTGTTGGTCAAATCCCCACTTGCAATCACTGGTCGAATCATGGTGACTGGGGAGGATCATCACTTTGTTGAAAAATATTTTTTCTATCCACATCAATGATGCCCTTTTGTTGAAACAAAAGGATACAAAAGGCATTTTTTGGAATTCTGGTTCCATTGTTGGTCGTCAAATCAAATGGGAGGAGATACATCAGATACACACATCCTCTATCATCACTTAACCAACCGCTGAGAAATTTTGAAGACCTCTCCATTTTGAAAAATCCAGTGATGACAAGCGTTGGGCGCCTGGCCTTGTTGGATGAGAACATCGGTCTTGGTGTATCCCATCTTGGTGTAGTCTGATGCCGGTGCCTCCTGCCGGCGCTCATCCCGAAGTGATGGCTTCAAAACCAGGTCGTTCGGCGATGGGTCGTTTGGCCAAAGAAAATGGGTCAAAATTGGATGATGAGCTGGTAAACATAACCATCTCACACTAGGTTCCTCATACTTCCTCTATAAACATCAATTTTGCGGTTAACCACTGTTTTTCACGAGCATTTCAGCCGCGGCACGGGATCTGCGCCCAAACGCCACTCCGCAAAGCGAGGGGCATCTCAGCGTGGGATCGAAATCTCTGGAGATTTTGGTGGATGTTTTGGCTGGATCCGAAATTTCGAACCATACACAAATTGGCGGGCCTAGCTATCAACGTCGGTTACTACAATGGGGAAACCATGGGGGTTTTGGAGACAAGTTTGAGGAACCACCAGCAGTCTGTGGTGGTTGTCGATCAAGCTTTCTGGGACCCCAGAAACCGTCTGAATCCAAGTTCAGGGTTTCCCGAGTTTTTCTATTTGAGCTGTTGGAATCTGGATCGAATGGGCCAAAAGTGGTCTCATGATGGGGGCAAGGTCTCTACAATACGTGTGTAGATCGTGTTACATCTGCCTGGCGTCTCTTCGAGCAGAAGTCTTGAAGCTTGCCGACAAATGTCTGGATCCAACACTCCCTTGTAGACCAAAACCTCGCGATCCAATCCCCAACGAGACGTCGCATGATGTGTTTCCAGTCGGAAGGTAGCCACACCTTTGACTAAGTTCAATATTCATCCACGGAAAAGTGATGCAACAAAAGAAGCAAACATCCTTGCGAATAATTCCAGGTTTACTAAAGTTTACTAGATGTTCTATCTTTCCACTTCCAATCTGGCAATGATTTAAAATCCCCTGCCACACTCTCATCTCCTTGATTCTTGGTGAATTGTTCAGGAAACCCTTTTCCATGACCTGTCACAAATGATTCCCCACATATTCCCGCAATCTCTTGGAATCTCAACCAATTTCTGTCACAGGCACTGGGCATGGCCCCAACAACTGTTGAAAATCTTCGCGCAGCGCTCCGCAACGGTCTCCGCCGCTCCGCTTCACAAGCGCCTTGGCACCTGTCGAACCATCCGAATCGCCCAAAGAAATACGAAAGTTGGGATCATCATGGGATGATGAAGGTGGGAATATACAAAAACAAGGCTAATATATGTACAGATATACGTAAGTACTTATATGTACACACAACAAGCGACACGATTCATCCACAGAAAATGGACAGTCGGACAGCACCAAAGAGAACGGCAGCGGACACGTTGACGCGTTTGTGACTGTGGTGCCTGTAATGGGGCGAAGTCCTCCGAAAGTTCTTTGCACAAACCATTTCCATCGCATGGATGGGAGCTGAACAGTGTCGAAATCTCAACACCAACGCAGAACATGTTTGCATGTGTCGAATTGGTTTGGTATCTCTTGAAAACCACAAAAACAATGACACTTTTGCATGATGCAGACTGGTTCACTCCTCCGCTTCATGAAACCTTTGTCATTGGCTCTCAACTGTACAGCCATCAAACATTCTTGTCACTTGGGAATGGGTCAAAATTGTGCGCATCCAAAAATCATCAAAAATCGATGAAAACTGATACAGAAAAGTGTTAATCTGTACATATCATTGTACATATCATTGTACATATCATATGTATACAATTTAATTGATTTTGTGGGTCGATCGGCACACCCTTCAGCTACAACGTGCTGGGGGGTAGCTTGGGATCACAAAGCCGCTTCATGTGACTCTGAAACACACATGACATTGACATAATGGCGTGGTTGAACGGAAAAAAACGGTAGGAAAGCCCTATATTTCATGGTAAACCCCATGGTTTCCTCTAGATTTTCCCTTAACCAATCCAACCACACTTCAATTGCCCAGGTATGCCCAGGTCATGATTTTTGCGGCAAGTCAAATGCAGAAAAATGGAACGGCCAGTCAAAGATGTCAAAGCTCAAAATGATGCCTTTGAGAAATGTTCAAATTCAAACACTTCAAGCCCAAAAAGCCTAAAAAATCATTCAAACAGCCAACGCCATTTATCTCGCGATGCGAAAAGAGCTGGGAAGGCTGCGAAGCCCCAGAGCTTAAAAGCAGACAGCTTTACACTAGACAACCTGTCGAAGGGGCTGAATTTTGCCCAAGTCGTGGCTAACGCGACGACCTCCCGAGCTCTGTCGGCAGGCCAAAAGCGGGAAACATCTGGGAGGAATCTCCTCCGGTAAGTTTTCGATGGAAAAATCCCAGAGTTCAAATCAAGACCCAAGCCTGGCCTGGAACCCAAGAAACATCACACCGGATTTTTTTTGCAAGATTCTTACATCTAAAATGACAGTCATTTGGGAACAAGTATAGAGCGGAGATTCCCCCACAATGATAAGCATGGCACGCTTATAGGACTTCAGCACGGCAGGTCAGACCATGTCTGAGCCAATTGCCATGGGATGAAATCCCCCTAGCAAGCACTGGCAAAGGGGTGGTTCAATTTTTCAAGAACGAAGGTATGTGGCATGTGACTAACATAGACCCTGAAAACCGTCTTCCAACAAAAAACCTGGCAGAGTTGAACTGTTCGTTGGAGCTACAGCAAAACCACCCCCCCAGCGGTGCGCTTCAGCATTTGCTCCGCCAGGTCAAGGCAATGTGTGCTTTGCAACTGAAGCCCTGCGCTGACACCCTGACATGGACTAGAGTACTACACGCATGTTTCGGGCTGACCATGCATCATGTTGACATTGAAAAGATCCATATGTGCACTTTGTTCTCATTTATATATATATGTGATATATCTGTTTGGTCACTCGATTAATTCTTGATCTTTCAGTGCTTTCAACAAAGCAAGTGATGTATTTATAAATCTAAATTCCTTCGTATCCCAAAGAAGTATGTCATGTTGATTTGTTTTGCATGAACATCCGCCACATGCACAGTACTCGTGTGACCTTGTATCACAAATCCATGCGGAGTAAATCTTCACATAGTCAATGTTGCTAGCAAAGCAATCAATGCAACTGCCGCCACGGGAGAATAATAAGGGCAACATGTGCTAAGCTCATCAGTCCGAGTGGGATCGGTCGGGGCATCCACACTCGAAGGGTCAGTGATAGGAGTGCTCGAAGAGTCACCCACAGTACTGAGAGTACTTGTGACATCAGGGTTGCTCACCGAAGGCTTTGTTGTGATGCTGGCAGCTATGGCATTTGGATAATATACCGTGACCTTGGCTGCATTCGTGGCCTCGGGCGTCAAGCCAAATAAATATTCCCCCTCCGCATCCAGAGATCGAAACTTGTAGGGCCACACGCCATTGGGACTGCCAGGAGGACCATGGTCCCCCTTCACATCCTCGTGCCAAGCACTGATCCATACCACGGAACCGTCCCGGGTGGTGGTCCAATCTTGGTAAAGTGGCCAATGGGTGTACCGGGTCACGTCCATCTTCTCCGAGATCTCCTCACCTTGCAAAAGGGAAACAACCAAACATGGTGGTTTTTTATAAAGCTATCAGGGGGATGGATACTCACCAGAATTGAATCCAAGAGAACAAGTTCTGGTTAAAATCACCTGCTACCCCCATCATCCAAAATAGGAGTGGAATAATAAAAATAATAATAATAGTAATAATAATGATAATAATAATAATAGTAATGCCGCCAGCAAGGAAGATGTTGTCCCAGGCTGGTTTCTGAAATGCGATCTTTCCCGGCTGTGACTTCATATCACAGATCACACCACTCTAGACAGGGGTGAAAGTTTGGGATTGTCACCTTTATATAACCATGGCCAACTTCCTCTCCCAAGAATAAAAATATCATCTATACATATCAAATGTGTGTAATTATGTGTATATAATTATATATATATATAATTACATCATGTTTGTATCAAAGGTGTCATCTTCTCCCCCTTCAGACCCAAGTGGCAGTTGCCATCCAGCTCCACCAACCACCTGGACCTGTCAGGTTTCTCGTAGCCAAAGAGGAACCGTGCCTCGCTTCCGCAGAGCGCCGCGTCCTCCGCCGCCCCCAGCGGTGCGATACGCACCATGCGCCCTGGGGCGCCATCACCGCAGTTGCCACCGCTGGAACCACAGGGCATGCCGGCCACCTGAGATGCGTGGGAGCATCAGAAAAATGGGATCCGGGAATGACAGAAAAAGTTGATGTAAGTAAACGCAAATATGATAGCAAAGCAAGAATATGGAAATCCGCCGACGATATAACTGTTTGTAGATCAACTGCTTCAATGAAATAGTGCAAATGGAGGATGGACACCACCATATGATGCTCAAGGGAAGTCCTCCACAGCCCATTGGAATCAGACTTCAGTCAAAGATTAAAAGATAGTCCTTGGCTAAAATTCCCTTGAATGAGGGCCTAGACCGAATTTGTACAAAGTGATCGCTAGGGATCCAATCAGCCAGAAACTTCTTGCAGCCAGAAATTTGTGTTTGTGAAAGTGTGGGCACCTTCTGAGAAGCATGGCTTACACGGGTTACCAATGACCCCGCAAAGCTGATGATCTTTACTGCCCTTAAACCATCCTAAAATTTCTGAGGTCTCATGACAGCCCATCCCGTTTCAGTGCCAAGATGCCAATGGCTCAATGACCTTCCACGTCACAATCTCTCCAAGCCTTGTGACCTTCGCGCACACGTTTCCCTGATCAGAAATGAGTCCGATGATCCAATCGTCCACACAGGGCCGCAAAGCATTCGCCTGGCGCCCTGTGTCATTGCCATGCACCAGCTCCAAACGTGAGCCTTTGTGCCCTGGAGAAGCGAATTCTCCCGCCGGCGGCATGCCAATGGGATCCTCCGCTAGACCATATTGCTGCATGTAAACTTCCCAGTGAGTGTTCTTCTGCAGGCCTGGTCCAGGGTTGTTTCCAGTTTGCTGTGTCTTTGAGGTTTCAATGCAACAAAAGCTGACATCTTCACATGTTCTCCCCTCGAAACAAAGTTGCAACTTACAACTATATAGGGTTGTATCATGTTGCTATCCAGCCAGTGACAAATGTCACTGGGTTCTCGAAATTTATCTACGTTGAACCCTTATCCCCCTGCATCCCACTTATGGATTCAACATGGTAAGCTTACGTCATGTTGTCTCTCAATTTCATGGAATCATAAATTAGTCCCAATAATATATGTATAAAATACACATGTTCAAATAACTGGGAGCAACTCGCATCAAACTCACTTAGGTCTAAAAAAAGAAAAACCGTTCTATCGTCATCATTTTGCGACACACAAATGATTCCACATTGCCACGGACATCGGCGGTTTTGATCCTTCCCCGCAGCCTATATCCTTCAGCCTAGGATGGTAGAACCAGGCCGCAGAGGCTTGATGATCCCCCGTGCCCGTGCGATGATGATCTCGCCAGGGACCGTCAGCCTCCTGCGAAGTTTGACGGCCAGGGGCCATCTGTGCGGTGGTGAAAAGAAGGAGGCACCACATTACCTAGCAGCACCTTTCAGAAAAATGGAAGAAAAGTAGATAAAGATAGGCAATACTCATCGACTTTCACCTGTCAGAGCAGTGCCCAATTTTTGGGGTTCGCCCAACTTCGCCCAACCCCAGCATGGCCAATCCGCCCTGAGATGGTGGGAGTTGATGCACTGAGATGCTCGTCTCCCACATCTGTTTTTATGATGAAGAAACGCTCGGTGGAAGAAAGCCCTTTTTTAGGTTTCCAACGTTGACCTGAAAATATGTCAATCGATGTCAATAGCTTCCAGAGAATCACCCACAACATCCACAACTAGATAAGATCAGATAGAATAGAATATCGCACAAATTCGATTTTGGGATCCTTATGGAGACAAAGATGATGTTTGATGTTTTTCCTAAAGAGGTTCACATCTTAACCCGGAAAGAGGCTTCTCTGCTATTGCAAAACACCATTTACCGAGCTTCTGCCGAAAGGTTTTCCAAATCGAATGGTTTTCCAAAAAACCTTCCCGAGCCGAGCAACTTCACTTCGAGATGGTGGTCCAATTTCACCTCAATTATCTACCCGATTTCAAAAAGCCTCCTGTTTCTTCCCCAAGCCTTTTTTCACCCCATGGCACCCAGTGGGGCACCACATCCTCATCCCTGGACCCCTCCTCCCGAGGTTCTACCTGTTCACGAGGTACAGGATATTTATACTTGGCATACTCTTCGTCGCTGATTCCAGGAGCATCGCGGTGATAGGTGTGCATGGCAAAGCCCGTGTGGTAGTCCACCTGCGTCATGTGCT